ACGATATTAGAATGAAGTATAGTTCAAATGTTGATTAGAATCTGTTTCCAACTGAGATCTATACTTCAAGATACATTATGGAAGATTAAATAAAGAGCTGGCAGTTCTCACTATAAAAGTTAAAAACTAGATAATGTTAAGGGAATTTGCTGAAAATTTCAGTCATATCATTCTGAACCGAGAATTTAGCGATTGAATTTTCGGTCTACCCTCGATCATCATAACTGAAGTCGGTACGATAAAAAACATAGTCTCGATTATCCATTTCATGACTTAATCATGAATGAAAGTTGAGCAGCAAATTAGATCCTAATCCAGTAAATATCGCAGGCTAGCGATGAAATCGAGAGATGATTATGGTGTGGATAAGTTAATTAATGTCTAATTACAGGCCTAAAGACAGACCTGCAAGAGGCAGGTTTAGCTCTTGCATAATGCATGTTTAGTAAAGACATGGTAATGCAAGGACTTTTTCTATTTTTCAAATTTATTTGAAGACTTATTGTCTATTTAACAGCATTGAGTTGAAAGATGTTTTAATGTCCTATTGTTGTTCTTCTTTACTGAATACAAATAAAAGACTGTTGTTTTAATGTCCTACTGTTGCGGCTCTTAATTGCAAAGATGTAATTAAAGGTACCGTTGCTGAACTCCATAATTTGATGAAATGACCTATACAGATTGTCTTCTGAATCTCAGCTATTAAGAATTAAATGAACCGTACGAATTGAATCCTTAACTTGTGTGTAAGTTTTACCTCAAGATGTGTGTCACTAGATTATAAAGTAACACATTTAAAGGAGCTAAAACTATAACTCAATATTTTCTGTAATACTGAAATTAAAAACATGAATTAAAATTCAGTATTGATCAATTTCAATCAATATTGATGTTGTTATATTGCTGTGAATATATGGGATCCAATATTTAAAGACCACGTAAGATCAAAAATCTAAATTTAATGTACGTATAGCCCATGTTTACTGTATCAACTTTACGGCAAGTTCACACCAATCTGATTAAAATTAAGTCCGCTGTTAACGTTTAAGTATCCGACACGCCAAAACGCTTTTCGATTTTTCAATTACGACCTTAATCCGGTTGATTGGCTGGTGACGTCACAAGCACTACACATAGGATATACATTATCTATACAATATCTCACTGCCTGTACAATATAGCACTATCAATACACACGGCAACTGGACAAGCGTCTATTGACGGTCCAATTACCACGTGACTGGCCTAATCATAATCACCGAATTATCGTCTTTCATTGGTATAGATTAGACATTTGTGATTGGAATATTTTAGAGTGAATTTAAAATGCTGTATCATGCCGTAGATCAATTTAAGCTGCCTTTGTTTAAACAGGCCACGTGTCAAATGAAGATGACTCAAGCAATTAGCGCATTTACCGGTAATTTGGATAAACCCGTAATACTTGATATCCCAAACTTAAGTACAGAAATACAAATGATGCCAGTCAATTGTCGATATATTCATTATTAGCTATAGATAATAATAATAACCATTTCCATTCACAAAAAACAACTTGTATCGTAACTCAATTTGAAATTCACAGCGAATATGGGATTTTCCGATGAGCATGCATAGATCGCCCTCATTTCTCAGCCAATCAACGTTGGGAATTTTATTGCCATGTACGGTTCCATGCACTACGGGCGTAGTTACTGAGGTTAAACTTTGGCTCGAAAATTCCATGGGATTCATGGACATGAATATCAAATACGCGGAGTTCCTGACTGATGCCATTTGGTGAGTGATTAAACTGTCAATGCAATTCTAAAATATTTTTATTATAAAGAATATTTCATATCAAGTCAATTAAATGTTGTTTAAACGCCAGTCAACAAATAATGCGATGCTACTTGATTACAAAAACACAAAAATTAAATAATTATTATAAACAACTGATGAGTAAAACTTAATTATTTTATACAATAAATAGGTGTGTGTACGATTCTCCCATTAGTTCATTTGTAGGTACTATGCACACGTTCCACCTAGAGTGATGCCTTTGATCTGGCCGGCGTAAAAAAGATAATTACCTAATCAGCATTCTTAATCCCACTAACAATCACTACTAACACCAAGATGTAAATTAATTAATGACCCCCAACTCTGTATAAGTTTAGTCGGATTGATTAATTAATGACTGATGTTAACGACACTACTTGTCATATATTATTATCAATACACAAAGATAGTTAGATGACACTTCTCAATCTGTCTGTTATTCCATTTAGATGGTTACCAACAAAATTTATTTGTACTGTATGTTGAGATATTTTTTCGCATTTCATTTTTACGGTCTATTTCAGGGTAATGAAGTCAAATCCGCCGTACGAAGATAACGGATCGTCATTTACAAATCGCTTTTCATTCATGTTTGACTTTTATGATACAATTTGCGTGACCACATCTTGTTACCCCTGTACTTTTTTACTCGGGGAAATTAGAACCACAATACTCTTTTGACAAAAATGTATCTCTAATCAATTGGACTGCACACAATATTAGAGGGTATTAAAATTGCTGTCATGAGAAACAAATTCTAAATTGAGATTCCGTAGTCAATTGTTTTATTTAATTAAGGAACTAAGGGGGATTAAGGAACCAGTCAGGCGTTAATGAGTACACACGCCGGCTGTATATAGGTAATTAAGGAATAAACATTCCGAATATGCATTCGGTCACTGTGACGTCACGGGCGTCTGAGGGGATTAAGAGTGTTTTCGATAATTGGCAAAGTCGTTTTTATGGGAGGAACATTTTTACGACTTTGAGTGAAGATAACTGAATTAATTTCAATCAGATTGGTGTGAACTTGCCGTAAAGTTGATATTGTAACCATTGGCTACACATATCCAAAAGTTTCCAAACCCATCTTATGTGCACTTTAAGACACAATGAACATTTTATAATCAGTACACAAGTCGTGTATTCTATTTTTGTGAGCGCGTAGGGGTCTTTAGCAGTGGGATGAAACCGGAGGACCCGGAGAAAACCCAAGAGGTTGGACAGGCGACCCTATTCCTTGCCACGTACAACCGGGGATTCGAAACCAAGCCAGATGACTCAATGACATGCTTTATGATAAAGCGCTGTGAACTGTTCCATGTCATTCATGTATTTTTGTGATTTGTTTGTGATCTCTATTATCATGGCGTGTAGTAGTACTATGAAGATGCCAATGTTTGTTCGACCAAAACCCTACAAAAGAATAGAGCCATACGCTTTTTAAAGAATTTCATTATTGCCAGAACCCTGGACATTTCCACTTGAATCCACTGGGGCCTTTTTTGAAGCATAATAAGTAGTAGTTATTAGCACACTTTCCGAGGTGTATCGGTGAATATCAGGACAGTTTTGGTCGAGGGGTTCAGCCGGGGCGGCTCCCGACCAAAACTGTTCTGATATTCGCAGTAGAGAGACGACCTGAGTAGTATTTACACGTGCGTCTTTCTATGATACTCTGAGCGTAAAACAATCACATGTTTGTTTAGACCACATCGTCAAAACAATGTCTATGGCGTAGAGGACTGCGATATTATTAAATGTATCGTAAAGGAAATGCGAAACGTGGTCATTCCTGGTGAAAGTATGCATCGGCGGATGGTTCTTCCGTTGAAATAATAAAGTTGTAATAAAGTTTATGACTTTCTAGGCGGTTTTTTTCATCCTGCTTATTTTCAATGCTTGTGAAGTGTCCAGCAAGAGAACTGCGCCTTCTATCATCACAATTAATTAAAATAATTATTCAATATTCTAATTTATATATTTTGCATATTAATATAAATCAAACCAAATTATGAAATAGATGCCAATTGGTATGTATAATAATTGATTTTTGTAATATGTTGTTATGTTAATTTAATGTCATTGTATATGTTTTTGAACTGCCATGTAGTTCCCCCCCATTTTGTTTTGTTACTATGATTTTGACTAGTTGTTTCATGTACATTGGTTAGAGCCTTGTTATCAATTGCGATCTGGGTCGGACTAAATGTCCGCTACTTATTGCTTGATAGATATCTAAAACGGTATAAAAGTATCCAAGTATCCGTGTATCAGAAATGATCAGTACTCTTTCTGTACATTTCTGATACACGGATACTTTTAAGCATGTATTGCAATTAAACAGGACAGTTTTATCAAAGGTTGCCAGTGACAAGGAGTAGAAGTGGGATGTAAACTTACATACATGTACCGGTACACTACTCCTACAAAGGGTTGGGATAGTTAAGTAGTCTAGAATATTGAACTTGGTGCTCAAGCTGGCCAGTCACCTCGATCCCATGTGTGAGCGTATGTGACTTGGCGATAGTGGGGTGCCTTCTCAAACGTATAGGTTGACTCTGAGCATCTTGGTTTCCTCCCACAGGAATATACTAAAATAAGACAACTTGGCTGTGATATTATCTTCACGAACAACAAAATACTTCAGTTAAATAGAATTGTGTGCTTTGTGAAACTGACAGAATTATTTAGGTTTTCATGACCTGTCATTTTCTCATCCAAATTTGGCAATTTCAGATTGTGTCATAAATTTTTGTTGAGAATTCTTGACAATTAACAGAGGCCCTTGGTGAGAATATGCTTAGCTTATTCGGAATATAAGCATCTAAATTGATTTTCTTATATTATCTAAAAATGCCTGATTACATAAAAATTAATTAGGAATGTGGAACATGAAGGAAGTGAATATAGGTGAAATCTGAATAACATCTGTAAGTTTAACAGACAACCATGTGGCTTTTGTTCGTCTAATTTATTCATCATTGTAGAAATGGTCTCCTGTGTATAAATTATGTCTTTAAACGTCACGACTGCCGAGTCGGTGTTGAGTTGCGTTAAATGTGTCAAGCCACAAGTCAGGTCTTTGATGCGGCATAAGTCAAATTTGAGTCCAAAATATTGGGTCTTCAGTTCTGATCTTTAATATTTTATGTTATATTTTATGTTCTATTTTTCAGAGTTCTGGCAAGAGAACAACAGTTCCTGGTCTTGATCCAATAACAAAAGAGTGAGTTTTATATTTGATTAACATATCTATAATCAGAATGATTCAAATAGAAAACCGAGAGTCCATAAACATTTTACTGTCGATGTATTTTTGATCCCCCAATTCATTCACTTGATCTGATCTGACGTGTTTGGTGTTTATCTGTGTATAATGATTCTTGTCCGTGGCTTTGTCTTATGGGGTTAGTTTATGTTTGTTTCAGTTTAAAATTGTAACATATTTTATCATACAGAAACGGTAATTTAAAATTGTAACATATTTTATCATACATTAACCCTTTCATTGCGTATACCCGGTATTACCGTGTACTCAGTAAAGCCCTCGCTAAAATTGGTACCGTAACTGCAAGTGCCATCTATTGTATTTTCTATACACTAGAACATATTTCCACGTGTTTCAAAGCGGCAAACCGTAAAATGGCGGAGTGCATAGTGACAACGTAGACAATGCACTCTCAACGAAGTCGTGAATGACGTCTTGCTGACCAACACGTGGACAATTTCGAGGCGGGTGATACATATAATTCGTTTCCAGTTACTTGATAATGATAGTAGTCAGGACAGTGATTGGTATTATGAAGTGTGTGATTTGTTGCGCGACGTTCCGCCCATTGCTAGCTATGTCTCCCGTGCATGATGAACAAGCCCAATGTGAAGACGATAGCCCTGTGTCTGCAGTAGATTCTGACAATAATTCTGACAATAATGCTAGCCTGCTGGATCGTAAAAGAAGTAGGCAATTCCTGAGTCCCGAACGTGTAGATCTGTTGACGGACTATATTGATAATGATATGGGACTTGGGGGTGAAAGTGAAAGTAAAAACAAGGTATTGCAATCCGCACGTGGTCATGGCAGCGGGAGACATGATGCGCGTGTTCGTGGGGGCATTGCTCATGGCTGCTATTGATATTTTTGTTCATTTTATATATCTTTATCAAAATCCAGTGAAAAAAACAATATCTCATAAGTATTTCATGGAGAAAAATTCGTTTCCGTGTTAGCTTTAGTGAGAAATGAGAAATCCAAAATGGCAGCCATGACGTCACGTGACTACATTATTATGCAAATTTTCAAAATTCTATTTTTTCCTCTTAGCCCAACCTCATGCCCATCTCAACAGACAAAAAGATTTTTCATAAAAGCTTCCATAAGTACTGTTTGGCATTCAGTTCCAACCCCTCTTTTTCCCTCAAAAAAGGGTCTAGCACAGGCAGTGGATTTACGTCTAGCATTGAAAGGGTTAATGCTAATTTACAATTGTAACATATTTTATCATACAGAGATGGTAATTTACAATTGTAACATATTTAATCATACACAAACAGTAATTTACAATTGTAACATATTTTATCATACAGAGATGGTAATTTGAGTGATATTGAAAGAGCAGGAAGCTTACATGAGTTTTTACTGGATCTACACAAACAGTTTGGTGATATCACATCATTCTGGATGGGAAGAGAACTGGTTATTAGTATAGCTTCACCTGAACTCTTCAAACAACAACAAACCATCTTCGACAGACCTCGTAAGTTTAACTTGTAGGCCGACCAAGGAAGAAAAATCAAAAATGAATCATGACTGATCTGGTTACTAAGGATAAGCCATGAAAATCAGCTAAACTTACACAATGTGCCCTGGTTTACAGGGATGTAGCCATGCCAGGCGCTTGCGCCCGTCCCTATTTTTTGCCGCCGAGCACAAAGAAAAAAAAAAATGATAGCCGCCCAGTCGTATCTAAACCTCTTCGCCCTTCTCTGTACGTACACAAACTCAGCGCTCGAAATTTACCACGGGAAACGGCAAAGCCATGGTAAAAGCCGACACAAGCCATGTCTGCCACAGCATAATTTATTTTTGTGTGCCGTAGTATACGCTATCATCCCAAATTAGTTTAAAGAAAGAAGTATTGGTATTTTGTTTATTTATATTTAGAAGTTATGTAGGTCTATTCATTTTACAATTCTACGGTCTTTAAATTTGTATATTTGCCGTAAATAGGTCACCCAGACCAATTTACGGCACTCCAATGTTAAAGGTTTGGATGTTGTAAATGGTGTCGTAATTCGTGAGACACGAGTCAAATAAAACAACATTTTTTAATTATCAATATCTACCTGTTTTCAAAATTCGTTGTACTCAAATAAAACACAAAAAACGTTTTATGCTCGGTCGGTTGGTGTCAAAAAGTTTTTAGATCCCTGGCAGAGTCTCTGTATCATTGATGATAATTAAGTGAATTTGGTCAAAATTTGAATATATAAATGGAAATTTGATTTGCACTGAAGCAAATACAAAAGGCAGCAGATGCTCAGAAAATACACCCAGAAGGGTTGAATTTTCATAAAAGACCATGCCCCCCTCCCAAATTTTTTTTTTCATCACTTCGCTCGGAAGAGATATTTTTTTCCAAGCCTCAGCAAATCCTGCCTACATCCCTGGGGTTATTTCCATTGGGGTCATGAATGAATATTAAAACCAGTTTCTCTGCCTCTCCATGTATCCCTGGCTAATATCTGGCGCTGTTATGATACAGCCATAACTGTTGGTGAGTTACTTCGTTGTTGATCAACTTGAAGAAATGGCAAATTGCAAATAAATTCATTCATTCAAAGCCATCCATTCGTAATAATTTTCTTGTGGTCTTGATCGTTCCTGCAATATCAATCTCGAGCAAAGGTCATACATATATTCCAGTATGTCTTAGGAGTGACTGAGAGCAAAAGTGACCTTCACCTTCATTGTGTGAACAGCTAGACAGCCAGTTACTGTAAACATAAAGGCATCGTTTTTGTCCAGACAATTATTCCAAACTTAACAATATAGATTGGAATGCCCAAGACCAATGCCCGATTCCTAGAAAATTCTTAACCACGTTCTTGTGCTTAGATTTTAAGTAAACTTTGCATTTTTCTTATTTTGTGTTCCCAGAAAATTCTTAAGAACGTTCTTGTGCTTAGATTTTAAGTAGACTTCAGTGTAAGCACAAGCATGTTATTATGTGTTCCAAGAAAAAAACTTAAGCACAACTTCGTTCTTAAACATAGTCAATCTAAGCACAAGTCCCAAGCTAGGTATACAGCTTGCTTACCAACCTGTTTTGGCTACAAACAAAATGGCTCACCATAGAGTTATTCAACGGCATTTCCTACATCTTTTGATACCAAAGAGACAATTGAAAGACAGAGAAAATCCTTTAGAAACATATTCTTGAAAACAATGCTATAGAAAATTTTGCTTCTACCCTGATACCATTTTATTTATTTACCAATAAATAAACAACACAAATACACGGGCTACTTTAAGATCAGGCGCTCTCACAATTATTCAGTCTGTTGCATGTGCTTGCTTTTTTTTTTTAGCTTGTGGCACATTTTATATGTGTATAAGGGACATGTCAAATGCATGTAAATCGATAATTTGCCGGGAAGCAGCCGACCAATTTATGAAGTAATTCGCACATCAAAATTTTATGACGTTAGAGAGCAATGTGCTTAGACTCGACTTGTGCTTACGTAAGAATGGTCTTGAGAATTTTCTAGAGACGATATTTTATAAAGTTTCTTACGTAAGAAAAAGTGAAGCATGACTTTGTGCCTACTTTAAGAATTTTCTGGGAACCGGGCCCTGTTACAGTACATATATTTTCTAATGTAATGTTTATATATTTTATAGCCATGTTATTTAAACTATTTGAACCATTATTTGGTGGTCAGTCCATAACATATGCAAACGGGGCGGAATGCCATCGCCGTCGTCAAGACTACGACAAAAGTTTCAGCCATGATGAACTGAAGCGTTTCTGTGTTGACTTCGGACAGGTAATCGATAATAAAAATAAGTTGATTGTCTGCTGGGACGTAATTCTGCATCCCCGGGCTAGCCATGTTTGACTTGATTAGAATAGAATGATGTTAATAGTCTCGTCAACATAATACTTTGATCATTTTGATACTAGCATATCGTAACATTCATTTCTTGTTACGTGTACAATGCAAGGTTGAGAATTTTCACCTACTTTATATTGAAGGTTCTCTTATGTGCATGCCAACGTGCACATGTTGGGACAGGTATGTTACATACGGAAAGCGGACTAAGGCTGAGTATTGGCTCTGCAGTCAAGATACAATACATATTGCGATCCAGGTACTACGATATATTTCGTATCAGGATTCATAATCAGGTCAATATTGACCTAGAAAACAACAGGATAAATGAATAATTGATATTTTTAATCCTGCCTATTTTGTAGAAATAAAACTGTTTTATATCACAGTATTGATGTGGATCAAAATAAGGACCAAAACAATTTAAGAACGTGTTCGTGAGAAAAGCATGCAAAATGTGACAAGGCCCTAAATCATGAATCCGGACCATACCACCACTGTTGGTTCCTTAGGACCCCCAGATGCACATGCGGGCATATTGCGATCCAAATCCCACCAGTACCCACAGAAATTATTTTTCGTTATTTTCTTAAAAATAATGGCTAATTTTAATGCATTTCTTAACTAAATTTTAAGTCTCACTCACGCAACGGATACTCACCTGAACGAAATTCTTTTTAGGGATTTTGTAGGCCTACTGTCCCTTGAAATTTTCCACAAAATTATTTTCACTTGAATCCAGCCATAGAGCCTGGGTTAGAGTTTCGATACATGAAGTCCATGGCATCAAATAAAATAGGCTATGTATCGACTCGTTTCTCTTCACTGCGGCGGGGGTGGGAGCGAGGGTGAATACATGTGCTTTTAGTACTTTATCTCCACTATATATATCAACAATAATATTGGATGCAGCTCGCCCCAGTTTTTCGGAGCGAGTGTTGAAAGTAGGCACACTCAGCAGATATTACGACACTTTCGGATACGATGTAAGTTAAGTTATTGTCAACTTTTCTGCCATACATCAAGATGAAATTTCGAATGTAGCTTCCCCACGGTAATACAAAGCCCAGAAGGGCACTTCCGGTATCAGTGACGTCACTTCCGGTTTCTTGGACTTGACACTAATATACCCATGTGACATATCGCTGAAAAGGTCATCACATGTACATTACTATTCTGTCATTACCACACGTTTTTACAGAGACGTCAAGGGAATATGGCCAAAAACATTGCCGCAAACTTGATCTGAGTATATGAGACGATAAAAAAAAATATGCGAAATGTAAAGATATCATTAATTTGAATAGTATTCCATATATATTATGTACATATCATACATATACAGTTACTAGCAATATTATAACTCGTAATACATATAGGCCTGTATCTCATATCACCATTCGGTTCAAATTTTTTGATTTCACACCGTTTCGCTTTATACAGTGTACTCGTGAAAAAGGACACTGGATTCAACACACTAAATGAAAATACATAGTATAAAACGTTACAAATCGTGAATGCAAAAAGTGGCACAGCATACTGACAGTTCTCTTTTCACAACATTTTAAAAGAGACTGGATGTCAAAGAAATGAAGAGAGTCAGGATCATGAATGCTTAATTCAGAGTTGATGTCCTCAATATATGGTCATAAATGAATATACGGCACACACTGCAATGAATATGATGATATGATCAGAGTGGAAATGAAATTAAGATCAAGACAAATCAATAGAGATCAAGATAATCAATCAAAAAATACCTTCTAAAGCGAGTAAATACCCAAAGTTCCCAGGGTTCCTGTGATTTGCATAGATCCGATGCAGTGAAACTTTTTTCAGATAAATTATGTGTCACTAATATACTTCAGCCCTCAAGGTCGATGTCGACCATGCACCCCGCCGCAGTCGAGAAAAACGCGTTTTAAAATGGGTCTAATTTCAGTGTTTTGGATACCTAGGTTTTTCAAACTAGTCTCATTTCTACACTCCAACTTGAACTTCGTTGATATTGGGCATATATTGAGGGGAACCCAAGATGGTTCATACTTCATTATGAACAGTCTCGAAAAATGTGTACCGAAGCCGCAGTTGCCGTCAAAAGTATGGTATTTTTCTCACTGAAAATAGCGTCGTTTTAAACCCAAAAAATCGGGGCGACCAAGCTCCGCAATTAGGCGGAGCAGAGACCTACTTTATTTTCTGTGGGGTCTGGGGGCCCCCGGGGTACCAACCACCAAGTTTGATCAAAATCGGTTTCCTGCTGCCTTATCACTTTTTGCAGAATTTGCATGGTCTTCTCACGGACTCGTTCATAAGAGTGTTTTTGTACCTATGGATAGTTAAGAGTGTTTGTGTACCTATGGATAGTTAAGAGTGTTTGTGTACCTATGGATAGTTAAGAGTGTTTGTGTACCTATGGATAGTTTAGAGTGACAGGTTACTTACTCAAGTGACAAAGAAGAATCGTGAGAAATGGAATCATCGTCTTACAATTCAAAACACGAATCTTGAACAGGTGAATTGCAATACCTTACCAGCACTAGACTAGACAAGGAAAGTATGCATAGTTGTTAGGAATGGGAATAAAACCTATGTACATGTTGGCATGCACGTATAATTAAGTACTGTATCATGCTGACAAGACATGATCTATCCTATTCTATCACTTTGTTATAGAAACAATAGATGGATTCTGTTCTCCTTGTCCAACACATTTGGCAGCTTTTCTGGGGATGCAGGACATTTTGTTCCTTACATAAACAAGGGCAGACAATCAACTGACATATTTTCCCTGCTTCACTTCTGCATTTTCATTTTCTATTTTAGCCTCATTATGTAAATTATTCGAACCGCTTTTTACAAATGAGTCAATACAGTTTTCAAATGGAAGTGATGGTAGAAGCAGACGGCAAGATTATGATAAAGGTTTCAGTCATGATGAACTGAACAGTTTCTATGACGATATGAATAAGGTTTGATATTAATTGCTTCATTTCGTGTATTGTAGAAAAATCAACAACGAAAAAAATTAAATTCTGTTTTAAAAGTTCTCACTCATGACGCACATCGCCATTCAGAAGATGACCATCGCCAAGACATTTGCATTACATCTCTCTTGTATAACAATTTTATTTTTTTCATTTTGAGTGAAGGCTGTATTATTAAATGCCCTGGACTGTACAGTGCAGTGGATGCTTATGGTTGACCCCTGTATACATTGTTTTTTTTGTGTATAGTGCGGTTATAAATCCTGCTCTTACTATTAGACAGACAAGACTTGCATTGTAGCAATAGTCTTGTGCTTCAATATTGTAGCAATAACCTTAAGCTTGCGCTTCAACATTGTAGCAATAGTCTTGTGCTTCAACATTGTAGCAATAAACTTGTGCTTTAACATTGTAGCAATAACCTTGTGCTTCAACATTTGTGGCAACCTTTATAAACAATAGCTGAACCCTGTTTTAATTCTACCTTTATAGGAGTCAAACCCTATATTTTACTGTAGCAATACCCTGTATTTTTGTCAGACCTCAGTGTAATTGTTTATTTGGTTCAGTTTGTGTAAGTAAACTGGTAGTGGTAGGTACTGGTAAAATCATTCCTTACTACCTGTAAATCCACCTGTAAATCGTTAATAGAAATGGTACATGAATCATTATTCTGTATTCACTATTCAACACAAAGAAAACATAGTCTTGCTGTCTCTGTAAATGTTGACTCTGGTTCCTGAAATATTTGCTCGAATGGTGTGTGACCATAAGGTCTGCCATTGAGTCAAGCGGCTAGCTTTGATTTCCCACTTTTACATCACAAGGAGTACTAGTAGGTTCGCCTGTCCAATGCAGCCTCGTGGGTTTTATCTAGGTCCTCCGGCTTCCTCCCTCAGCCAACGAACCCTACGCGCAAGCGATTTATTGAAATAAAATTGAACTATATTTTAGTTCCAAAATGACCTAGTTTGTGTGGAGTGGACGTTAAACCCCATTTCACAATCTCTGGAGACAACATCAAGTTTGGCGTGAGGTCTGGAGGATTACCCGAGAATTTTATAATCAGAAGCTCTGAGACGATCTTTCTGCTCATTTAGGTGCATACATGGTAGAGGATCAGAGTGGGATGAGGCTAAAATGGCAGCAATGCTTCACATGTTCATTTGAGAAAGAGAGAGAGAAATGGGGTTTAACGTCCACTCGACACAAACTAGGTAATTTCGGGACTAACATATGGTTTAATTTTATTTCAATAATTCGCTTGCGCGTAGGGGTCTTTAGCAGTGGGAGGAAACCGGAGGACCCGGAGAAAACCCACGAGTTTGGACATGCTATCCTACTCCTTGTCACGTACAACCGGGGATTCGAAACCACGCCAGTCGACTCAATGACAGACTTTATGATACAGCGCGCGGACGCTAACCATTCAGTCATCCAACACCCCATGTTCATTTGTTCAGTGTTGTTTCAATTAATGTCAGACTACAAAAATGTGCTCTGCATTCCCACTTGGTTACTTCTGTTTCAAGCAAGCCCATTCTTCGTGAAGGTTTATATTTATTCAGTCTTTTTCTTCAGGTTGCGAGTGATCTGACAAAAACTCTAGAGAGCAAGGTCAAGGATGAACATTTATCTTTAAATCAGTACATGTTTGCTTTCGCTTTTAAAATTGTGATGACGTCATTGATGGGAAAAGGTGTGATGAATGAAAAAGAAATCTTGGATTTTAAAAGTAATTATGATCATGTAAGTTAATTAACAGTGTTATTAAAGTATAAAATTCAACGATGTCCAAAGATCTTTTGGCAGATGTATTATTTGATTTCATTTGTAGTGTTTGTTCAAATTTGGAGTGAGTGTTTTTTTTGTTTTAAGGCTTGGTCTGAAATGGAACAAAGACTGGCTGATCCAAACATTCCAGATGATGACAGTCAACGTGGAAAGGCCTTTAACAGAGGTAAACTTTTAAACATCCTATTCATACACCCACATTGAAATGTCCATCAACCACAGAGGTTAAAGTCAATATCCAATTGACTCTAGATTTATACACAGTGTTTTAGAACATGATTTAAAGAATCGTATAGATTTTCAAGTAATTTCCGATAATTACTGCTAGAGTTATGACCTGAATCACTTTGAGTAATCTTGTGGACGCTGTAGAAATCAAATTTATACACAGTGTTTAAGGTCATAGACAACGAAGCTGATTGATTTCCAGTGGTTTAAGGCCAGTATTGACAGAGTTATGGCCTTTGATCACTGCAAAAAATTGGAATAGCTAAACATGAGCATAGGTAGAACTAGAAGTCAAACAAATTCTAATGAGTTCTGATAATCACTTAATGGATTGTTACTCTTAATCAGATTGTGTGTGTTGTAAATGTTTTCATTACTGACGACCCTTGTTGACTGCCCAGAAAAATGAGCTAACCTTGGAGTATGTTTCATTTCCTGGCAACCTATCTTTTTATATATATATATATATTTTTTTTAACTTTTATGTTATTTCCATTTAGAAATCTGGTCATATACTGTGGCTTTATTTACGGATGTTCAATTTTCATCCATTCTGTGAAATAAACCAACAAATATTATAAAATATTTATTCTGTTTTAGTTTTAAAGCATTTGAAAGATAGTGTGACTAAAATAATGAGATATAGAAAAAAACATGGAAGTAAATCCGAAGAATATCTGTTAATAGATAGAATTATGGATCATACTGAAAATGACGACACTGTATATGCTGACATTCTCACTTATCTTGTTGGCGGTTTCCATACCACTGGAAATTGTAAGTATTTGCAATGATTGTGATTTTATTGACATGGGTGAGATATGGGGTTTAATGTCCAGTCAACACAAACTAGTCATCTTGGGACTAACATATGATACATTTTTATACGCCCACATTTTCATGTGGACGTATATTGTCGTCGCCCCTGTCCATCCGGACGTCCGTATGTCGCGCATATCGGACCGTAACTTTCTGAATTATGGCCCTTGATTGTACGAAAAATCACGTTTTTAGCTTGTGGACCCTATAGAGGTCATAATTTTTATCCGATTTAAAAAACCATATTATTATATCACCGTTACACCCTAAGGACGGCTGAGTTAGAATTTCGTGAAAATCTGCCCAAAACTGACAGACAAAATGGCCGGCCTCCGTTCTCAAATAGCGTAAAAATATGGTATATCTACATTGTGAACCCTATAGAGGTCACAATTTTTATACGATTTTGTTGAAACTTGAAATGTAAGTTTATAACCCAATGATCTCGGTTCCTTTTGATATTCACGAATATCGGACCATAACTTCCTTAATTATGGCCCCTGATTGTACGAAAAATCACGTTTTTAGTTTGTGGACCCTATAGAGGTCATCATTTTTATCCGATTTAAAAAAACGTATTATTATATCACCGTTACACCCTAAAGACGGCTGAGTTCGAATTTGGTGAAAATCGGCCCAAAACTGACAGACAAAATGGCCGCCCATCGTTCTCAAATAGCGTAAAAATATGGTATAGAAAGGTTCTGGACCCTATAGAGGTCACAATTTTTATCCAATTTTGTTGCAACTTGAAATGTAAGTTTATAATGCAAAGATCTCGGTTCCTTTCGATATTTGCGCATATCGAATTGTAATTTCCTGAATTATGGCCCTTGATTGTAGGAAAAATCACTTTCTTTTTAGCTTGTTCTCTATCCATCTCTCGAAAATGTGGGTGTATCCTGCCTGGCAGCCGCTGGTATTTCAATCATTCACTTGCACATAGGTCTTTAGCAGTGAGAGGAAACTGAATTTGTCAGAGAAAATCCACCAGCATAGGGAAGGTACTCTTTGGCATATACAAAACCACGCCACTTGACTCAATGACAGACCTTATGATCTAATGTGCATGTGCATTACACCACAGACCACTCAACCACCCAACACCCCATGTATGATCACACTTTACTTGAGGTACAAAAGGCTTCCTGGGATTGTGAAGTTTTTTAATGCCACAGACATTTATTTGTATAATTTCGATTATTTGTAGATTCAGTCATGATCAGTACTGTATTCATTTTCAATTTACTCCAGAAATAGTTGGGGGTATGGTTGGTTGAGTCAAGTGTCATTGAATCAAGTGTCGGTGGTTTCCAGATAGGGTCACCTGCCAGCTCTCGTGGGTTTTCTTCAGGTTATCTGTTTCCTTTCACTGTTCAAGATCTGACATCAACATATATTATATAATATATTAGTCTCAAAATGACCTATTCTGTCCCTCGCACTTCGTACTAAATTGAACAACTTGAGCTAGAATGTTTGTTTGCAATATAACCTGGTTGTGTTGAGTGGACATAAATGAAATGAAATGAAATGGGGTTTAAAGTCCTACTGTTCTCCTCCAACTCGGCTAATACAGGTCACAATTCTATGGAATACAATTTCAACTGTTCTTCTCAAGTCATTATCATTGCTTGATAAACACTTAAAAAATCTGGTCGAAATGTTGCTCAGTAATAAGCAGTAGGCCTAATTGTATGTCACCTGAACATGTATATTCCAGTACTATTACTAATTGTATGTCACCTGAACATGTATATTCCAGTACTATTACTATATGTCATTGAAACAAATTATCAAACTGGCTGCAGACGCGGAGTGGACATTTAACCCTTTCATTGCGTCTACACGGTAGTACCGGGTATTATAAAATGACGGTAAAATTCGCGTACCCGGTATTACCGTGTACTCAGTAAAGCCCTCGCTAAAATTAGTACCGTAACTACAAGTGCCATCTATTGTATTTTCTATACACTAGCGGCAAACCTTAAAATGGCAGAGTGCATAGTGACAACATAGACGATGCACTCTCGACGAAGTCGTGAATGACGTCTTGCTGACCAACACGTGGACAATTTCGAGGCGGGGATACACATAATTTGTTTCCAGTTACTTGATAATGATAGTAGTCAGGACAGTGATTGATATTATGAAGTGTGTGATTTGTTGTGGGACGTTCTGCCCATGGCTAGCTATGTCTCCCTTGCATGATGAACAAGCCCAATGTGAATTTAACACGATAGCCCTGTGTCTGCAGTAGATTCTGACAATAATTCTGATGTTGATAATAATGCTGGCCTGCTGGATCGTAAAAGACGTAGGCATTTCCTGAGTCCCGAACGTGTAGATCTATTGACTGACTATATTGATAATGATATGGGACTTCGGGATGAAAGTGAAAGTAAAAACAAGGTATTGCAATCCGCACGTCATGGCAGCGGGAGACGTGAATCGCGTGTTCATGGTGGCATTGCTCATGGCTGCTACTGATATTTTTGTTCGTTTTATATATCTTTATCAAAATCCAGTGAAAAAAACAATATCTCATAAGTATTTCATGGAGAAAAAATCGTTTTCGTGTTAGCTTTAGTGAGAAATGAGAAATACAAAATGGCCGCCATGACGTCACGTGACTACATTATTATGCAAATTTCCAAAATTCTATTTTTTCCTCTTAGCCCAACCTCATGCCCATCCCAACAGACAAAAAGATTTTTCATAAATGCTTCCATAAGTACTGTTTGGCATTCAGTTCCAACCTTCCTTTTTTTCCTCAAAAAAGGGTCTAGCACAGGCAGTGGATTTATGTCTAGCATTGAAAGGGTTTAGCCATCCATATTTTCTATATATGGCACTCAGAAGAATGTAGTAAAAACCCTACACTGGTGCCACCGTAGAATCTCCTGGGGTTGATCTAGAATCCCTTCATACATTGAATTCAAACATAAGGTGACAGAAATGGTACTGTCTAGGTAAAACAATCCTATTTTAGTATTTACGTGTTATTGTTGGTTTCTTTCCAGTATTAACATGGGCGTTTTATTTTCTGGCCACACATAAAGAGGTTGAAAAGAAACTTGTAAAAGAAATAAAACAAGTTCTAGGTGATGATGATATTGATCAGGAAAATTCTACAAAATTAAAGTAAGTACCATAAAACAACAACAGTAAGTATCAAAAAACGAGAATTGAAGTACCTTAAAGACTAAAGTAGATAAACAAAAGAGACACTAACACTGTTTTCATAGTCAGATATAATTAGACCAACGTTTCGAAGAGCAGGCACTCTCTTCTTCTTCAAGGTAATAAATAAAACATTTAAAAATAATCTCTAAGGAAACAGAGATGAAGTCATAGGGAACTATGACGAAGAGTGTGGAACCAGGAGCGCATGAAAAAGGGGGAAAGTCTAAAAAGTGCTTATGGGGAAGATAGTTTGAGGATTATTATTAATACCTAGAGGCACATTATGTTTTATTTATTACCTTGAAGAAGAAGAGAGTGCCTGCTCTTCGAAACGTTGGTCTAATTATATCTGATGATGAAAACAGTGTTAGTGTCTCTACTTTAGTCTTTATCTAGTGAAGAACACTTCCGTATCGGATTCCTCGATCCATTGTTTTCAAATTCCTGTTGGATGCGGATTCTACACAAGTTTTGCATTTTACCTTAATGGCCACATAAGATGGCCAAAAACTTTTTTCGCTACGTGTAGCCAATAGTTACTATGTCCACTTTACGGCATGCTCACGCCAATCTGATTAAAATTAATTCGGCTGTTAACGTTTGAGTATCCGACACGTCAAAACGCTTTTCAATTACGACCTTAATCCGGTTGATTGACTGGTGACGTCACAGGCACTACACATAGTGTATACATTATCTATACACAATATATCACTACCTGTACAGTATATCTCTGATATACACATCACGATCCAATTAACACTTGACTGGCCTAATCATAATCACCGAATTATCGTCTTGTACTTTTATAGATTTAATAGACTTTTTGTGCCATGTGTACTACGGCTGTAGTAACTGACGTTAAATTTTAGAGCGACATTTGCATGGGATTCATGGACATGATGAATATAGAGAAGTTAAACGATGTTGGACAATAACCTAATCTTATCACAAACGTTTATCTATCGAATAATTTATATTCAGATTTCGTATCAAGTCTATTAAATGTTGTCTAAACACCAAACAACAAATAATATGAGGCTACTTTATTACAAAAACATCGGTGAACAAATCTAATTGATTATTTGGTAAAAAATGAGTAATGTACGATTCAACAATTAGTTGTGTTGTGGAGAAATGTTTGCAGCAAAGTTCCCCCGTAACTTGTGTCGTTCGTTCGTGGAGTTTTAACACGTTCTACCTAGATTGATGTCTTTGATCTGGCGGGCTAATAATAAACTAATCAGCATTCTTAATCCAACATCTAAGTGTAAATTAATTTATAACCCCATGTGTGTGCAACGCTAATCTACATTGAGATGTAAATTAATTTATGGCTCCATGTCTGCAACTTTAGTGGGATTGATTAATGATAGATATTAATGACACTACAATGTACACTTGCCATATTATTATTTTAAAATCGCTGTCGTGAGAAGAGAGGGTGGGACATTATAAAATAAATTCTAAATAGGATCTTAAATTAAAATAAATTACAAAACAAATTATTCCGCAGTCAATTTTTTTATTGTCCCCCGCCTTTCGAAGAAAGCAGGGGACTATTAAAATGGGTTCGTCCGTCTGTCTGTCTGTCTGTCTATCCGTCACACTTTTTGGGACACAATAACTCTCTTCCTAATTGAGCTAGAATGTTCAAACTTGGTGTATGTGTTTATTAGGTCAATGCCTTGATGGAGTTCGAAGATGAGCATTTTCCGCTTAGGGTAAGCAGAGATAAGCAATTTGATTGGTTGATGCTTTGGGACACGATAACTCTCTTCCTAATTGGGCTAGAATGTTCAAACTTGGTGTATGTGTTGATTAGGTCAATGCCTTGATGGAGTTCGAAGATGAGCATTTTCCGCTTAGGGTAAGCAGAGATAAGCAATTTGATGGGTTGATGCTTTGGGACACGATAACTTTTAATTGAGCTAGAATGTTCAAACTTGGTGTATGTGTTTATTAGGTCAATGCCTTGATGGAGTTCGAAGATGAGCATTTTCCGCTTAGGGTAAGCAGAGATAAGCAATTTGATTGGTTGATACTTTGGGGCACGATAACTCTCTTCCTAATTGAGCTAGAATGTTCAAACTTGGTGTATGTGTTGATTAGGTCAATGCCTTGATGGAGTTTGAAGATGAGCATTTTCCGCTTAGGGTAAGCAGAGATAAGCAATTTGATTGGTTGATGCTTTGGGACACGATAACTTTAGTTCTAATTAATTTTTTTTATTGTCCCCCGCCTTTCGAAAGCAGGGGACTATTAAAATAGGTTCGTCCGTCTGTCTGTCCGTCACACTTTTTGGAACACAATAACTCTCCTTCTATTTGACCTAGAATGTTCAAACTTGGTGTAGGTGTTTATTAGGTCAATGCCTTGATGGAGTTCGAAGATGAGCATTTTCTGCTTAGGGTAAGCAGAGGTAAGCAATTTGATTGGTTGATGCTTTGGGACACGATAACTTTAGTTCCAATTAAGTGAGAGTGATGAAACTTGGTGTAGGTGTTTATTAGGTCAATGCCTTGATGGAGTTCGAAGATGAGCATTTTCTGCGTAGGGTAAGTAGAGATAAGCAATTTGATAGGCCGAGACTTTGAAACTCAATAACTCTCCTTCTAATTGAGCTAAAATGTTCAAACTTGGTGTAGGTGTTTTTTAGGTCAATGCCTTGATGGCGTGTGAAGATGAGCATTTTCTGCTTAGGGTAAGTAGAGATAAGCAATTTGATTGGTTGATGCTTTGGGACACGATAACTTTAGTTCCAATTAAGTGAGAGTGATGAAACTTGGTGTAGGTGTTTATTAGGTCAATGCCTTGATGGAGTTCGAAGATGAGCATTTTCTGCGTAGGGTAAGTAGAGATAAGCAATTTGATTGGTTGATGCTTTGGGACACGATAACTTTAGTTCCAATTAAGTGAGTGATGAAACTTGGTGTATACTTTCATTACATCAATACCTTGACTAAGTTCGATATTGAGCATTTTCTGCTCAGGGTAAGCAGAGCGATAAGCAATTTGATTGGCCGAGACTTTGGAACACAATATTCCTCCTTCTAATTGAGCTAGAATGTTCAAACTTGGTGTAGGTGTTTATGAGGCCAATGCCTTGATAGAGTGCGAAGATGAGCATTTTCTGCTTAGGGTAAGTAGAGATAAGCAATTTGATTGGTTGATGCTTTGGGACACGATAACTTTAGTTTTGATTAAGTGAGAGTGATGAAACTTGGTGTATAGTTTCATTACATCAATACCTTGACTAAGTTCGATGATGAGAACTGTCTACTTAGGCTAAGGAGCAATAAGCATTTTGATTGGTCATGACTTTGGAACATAACAACTCTGCTTCTAATTGGGGTAGAATGTTTAAACTTGATGTAGATGTTCGTCTTGACGGAGTGCAATGATCAACATATCGAGCTAAAGCTAAGCAGAGATAAGCAATTTCCTTGGTCGATGCTTTGGGACAAGATAACTTTGATGAAACTTAGTGTATAGTTGATAATCAGTTTGATTGCTTGATACTTTTGAAAAAAATAGATGTGCAATTAATTAACATGTGTCATCTATTTATTTGGGGATTTCGGCGGGGGACATCAGCCTCACTGTTGGCTTGTTTAATTAGGGAATTAAGGAGTCAGTCAAGCGTTAATGAATACACACGCCAGCTGTATATAGGTAATTAAGGAATAAACATTCTGAATATGCATTCCGTCACTTGCGTCTGAGGGGATTAAAAGTGTTTTCGATAATTGGCAAAGTCGTTTTTACGGGAGGTCTATTTTTGCGACTTTGAGTGAAGATAGCTGAATTAATTTCAATCAGATTGGTGTGAACTTGCCGTAAAGTGGATATAGGAACCATTGGCTACACGTATCTCAAAGTTTCCAGGCCCATCTTATGTGCACTTTAAAACGTGAATTGAAGTACCTTAAAACGTGAATTAAATTAAATACAATAAAAATGAGAATTAAAATCAGTGCCATAAAGATGAGTTATAAACTTAAGCAATTAAAGTAAGCACTTTAAAAAAACAACAATTAAAGTAAGCACTTTAAAAACAACAATTAAAGTAAGTACCGTAAAACAACAACAGTAAGTATTAAAAAACGAGAATTGAAGTACCTTAAAACGTGAATTAAATTAAATACAGTAAAAATGAGAATTAAAATCAGTGCCATAGGCAATTAAAGTAAGCACTTTAAAAAAACAAAACAATTAAAGTAAGCACTTTAAAAACAACAATTAAAGTAAGTACCTTAAAAACAACTATTAAAGTAAGTACCTTGAAAACAAACCATTAAAGTAAGTACCTTGAAAACAACCATTAAAGTAAGTACCTTAAAAACAACCATTAAATTAAATACTATTAAAGCAACAATTCAATTAAAGTAAATACCGTAAAACAACAATTAAAGTAAGTATCGTAAAACAATAATTAAAGTTGTGAAACAACAATTAAAGTAGTACCTTAAAACATCAGCTAAAGTAAGTACCTTAAAAACAACAATTAAGTAGCACCTTAAAAACAACAATTTAAGTAAGTACCTTAAAACAACGATTAAAGTAAATACTGCTAAAGCAACAATTAAATTAAAGTAAGTACCTTAAAAACAACAATTAAAGTAAATACTGCTAAACAACAATTAAAGTAAAGTAAATACCGTAAAACAACAATTAAAGTAAGTATTGTAAAACAATAATTAAAGTAAGCACTGTGAAACAACAATTAAAGTAAGTACCTTAAAACAGAAATTAAAGTAAGTACCTTATAATCAACAATTAAAGTAAATACCTTAAAAACAACAAATAAATTAAGTACCTTAAAAAAACAATTGAAGTAAGTACCTTAAAAACAACAATTGAAGTAAGTACCTTAAAAACAACAATTAAAGTAAATACCTTAAAAACAATTAACGTAAATACCTTAAATAACAATTTAAGTAAGAACCTTAAAACAACAATTATAGTAAGTACCTTAAAAAAAACAATCAATGTAAGAAGGCCTACCTTAAAAACCACAATTGAATTTGATACTGTAAAACAAACATTAAAGCAGTATCATAAAACAACAATTAGAGTAAATACCTTAAGTAAGTAACCTTTGAGAAAAAATGAAATGAAATGAAATGGAGTTTAACGTCCTACTGTTCTGCTCCTAACCTGGGCTAATGAAGACGGGCATACGCCATACAGTGTGCTATGAGGGAAATTTTGCCCGGACAGCGGCACTACGGCCTACTCTTATATCAAATTCCAACTGCCAAGGGATCTTTTACGTGCACGCCAATGTGTACACGGGACCTCGGTTTTTCGTCCCATCCAAACGACTAGACAGCTTTCTTTGTCAGCCCCTCCGTCCTGCATCACTGACAAGGGAGAACCACGCCGGAAAATCTGGATGAACTTTCTCGGCCAATGCAGGGATCGAACACCCGACCTCCAGACTAGCGAGCTAGCGTCTTACCCACCTTTGAGAAAAAGTAAGCCCTGTTAATTAAAGTAAGACGTCCTACCTGAAAAACAGTTAAAGTAAATACATGAACATTAAAAACACCAATTAAAATAAGTACCGTAAAGCTACAATTAAAATGATTACCATACAATTACAATTAAAGTGAGTGCCATAAAACAACAGAAAGCCTACCTTAAAAACAACAATTAAAGTAAATACCTTAAAACTTTAAAACGAGAATTTAACCTATTGTCGGTCATCAAGATACATTTCTGTAAATCATTGATATTAATATATATCCTAACACCCAGGTGAAAACTGTATTCTCAATGAAAGCGCGGTACAGTGTCATTCAAATAGTATGAAACACCCAACATGTGTCAGACAACTCCACTTGATCCGCAGTTTTAAATAATGATGTATGAGGATTAGTATAGTCTGAATGTACAGGGCTAGTAATAATGACGGAGTCTGAATGTACAGGGCTAGATAATGATGTATGATGAGTAGAATAGTCTGAATGTCTAGGACTAGTAACCCATTAGATGTAGCTGATCTTTAACTTATTCTAACCTCTGAGAACTTTCTCATCATTCGAAAGGTGAACACATTCTGATATTGATGATTTTAATTGTAGATATACAAGACAAGTTCTAGATGAAACATTACGCTGTGCTGTTGTTGCTCCATGGGCTGCTCGTTTTCAAGATTTTGATTCTGAACTGGGTGGACATAAAATACCCAAAAATGTAAGTTGACGAGTTCACAGAAAGTATTCAGACAAATTGAAGAAAGGTTGTTAATGGAGTACTAGGGTTAGGGTTTGGTGCAAGTATTCAAATAAACACGTTGAAGCAAGTACCAAAAATGAGCTAATTTTTCACTTCTATGTTCAAGGTCTACAAGTCTACTAAAAAATTGTACACATTGGTTACCATTTGAGATAATTTCACGAAACCATGTACACACGTCAAAAATGTACTATAATGGTGTTATTTTTTTTCACTGAAACTGTTTGTCATAGACTCATTTTCGGCCATTACAAAAGAAGAATTAAAAAAATAATTTTGCAAACTTTTGTATGCATATGAAATACCTACTGAAGTTATATTTTTTACTACACACAAATTTTTTTAAAAAATGGTTTCCTTTTTCCCCCCAATAGGTTGTTAGATGCATTTTGATAGAGAACATGAATTATATCTCTTGATAGATAACAAACTCAAATTATCGTTAACTTTATTTATGGAATAGTTTATAATTTATTTATTACAGACCCCAGTAATACATGCATTAGGTGTGATGTTACATGATGAAAAATACTGGCCATTACCTAACAAGTAAGTTCTATATACACATCATGTCATTGCATGATTACAAACACATTGTTTGTGGTTCAGGGATGAACAAGTCGTATTACATGTAGGCTGTTGATGATAAGATCAATCATTGAGTCAAGTGTAATGACCCCATGCTTGTGGGTGATAAGGATTGCCTACCTGAATTTCTGGGTTTTCTCACAGTTCTCTGGTTTCTTTTTCGAAATATTTGAAATGTCTTTCTTTTTAATATTTCTGGGTACTACTAGGCCCTAAATATGAGTCTTGGGGTCATATCAAGGTGTTGGCCCCGAACATATGTTAGTCCTGAAATTACCTCAAATTGCATCCCTCCCTCTGTCTCTGCTGTTGCCTCTTTTAAGATTCTCTTGTAAATATTGAACAGAAAGATCAATAGTGTAGCATGACTCATGTCCAAAATGACCAAAACATAATTCCTGTGTCTGCAGCCTGCGATTATTGGGCATATGAAATGTAGCTGTACTCCACGTTTATCTAAATTAATCGTCTGTTTTCAGGTTTGACCCAGATCGTTTTAACGAAGAGAACATCAAAAACAGACCAAATCTCGCATTTTCACCATTTGGGTTTGCTGGCAAACGGATTTGCCCTGGAAATAAATTTGCATATATGGAGGCAACTATTTGTTTGGTTTCCCTTATAAGGAAATTTGAATTTACGCTAGTTGATGGTCAAGTAGTTCAGCCCAAGTATGGTTTGGTTGGTCATCCTGAAGACGATATTTGGGTTACATTATCCAAGCGGAAATAATTAAGAATATAATCTCCTAGCTTCGATTCATTTATTGGTGGTGCTGGCCTGTTTACAGAGGATGACAAATTGTCAATTGAATACATAATGTAGAGTTTATGGATTTAATTTGAACATTTAATTATAGTTATGGATTATTATTTATATCAAAGCTTATTATAGATAAAATGATGCAATTATAGATTTAAAAAATACGTTTTGTATATTTTTTTACTTTACTAGTTTGCTTTGAATAAATAATATCATGACTCATGCTGGCATTACACAATGGGTTCTTTGGGTTGTATTCCTAATTGTTTTCAAATTTGAGTGAAGTCTGTGTCACTACAGACCTGGGACTGTACAGTGCAGTGGACGCTTACGGCTAGCCCCCGGATCCATTCACTTTTTTTTTTAATTGTCTGTATGTTTGTGTTTTCCTGAGTATGATGTCCTGTCCGGTATTTGTTTTTGTGTAAATTTTGTGTGGTGCAGTCCCCCTGCACTTACTATTATAATCTGCCTTTTATAGCCGCAAAAATTCATTCTCAGCTAGTCGCAGACTAGTAATTATTTGCCTATTGACTTCTATCTCAAATTCATGCCATTTATTGGCCTCTAACATTTTTCTGATCCGTTAAATGGATTTCATTTTCATAACCACAAAGATCCGAATTATCTGATAAAATTAAGAAGGGTGTTCACCATTAAGATATTTTTCTCCGCATGGTCAACGTCAACAGTAGTCTTTAGGCTGTGACATCATCTTTAGTAATTCCTGTTTCTTTACTGTCTGATCAATCCTCCCCAGAATCATGAATATTCATGTGAATTTAATCACTATTGTGGTTCTAGACTCAGAATCATGAATATTCATATGAATTTGAACACTATTACGGATCTAGACCAAAAAGGTCAAGACAAAAGAAAGAGTATTGCTGTAAGTAGATGGACTACATAATCAAGGGGAAAAAATACTGGTCTGATACCTGATATACTGTGATTACTAATCAGTATTATAGAACTTATGGAAAGCCTTCACTCATTGGTTAACCCTTTGAGGTCTTCATGGGCTTAATATATATGTAGGTTGTATGTTATTTTGATGGCTTGTAAATTAACTATAAGTGCTAATTTAAATGTATGTTATATTGTATGTTTGTGGATTGGTGATGGGTAATAAATTGTTTTCTGTCATGATCAATGTAAGTTACAAATGGAGGGTGTCAAAGGAGCTAAATCCCTATTCTTTAGCACCTAGAAATGGACGCAAATGGGTCTCAACGCATATAATAATGGTGGTATTAATACTGATATACAGAAGGGGGGAGGGGTAATGTTTAAGGGATGCTGGTCTATTTGTGGAATTAATACTGAAAATTACCTTTTCTATGACTCCATCTGTAAATAATCAAATCAACCTGTCCAGAAAATCTTGTGTAATGTATTGATGGAGTTTGAAGATGAGGCTAAGTAGAGATTTCAATCTGAACACAATACCTCTCCTTCTAAATTCAGATATAATGTTCAAATTAGATGTAGATGTTCATTAGGCGAATGTCTTGACTGAGTTCAATGATTAACATTTTCCGCTACAGCTAAGCAGAACTAATCAATGTCATTGGTTGATGCTTTGGCCAGTTTGGGACAGGATAGTTTTGATTTTAGCTGATGAAGAGTGATGAAACTTAGTGTATAGTCTCATTACCAGGTTTACTTCAAAACCTTGACTTAGTTCGATTGGGAACATAAGTATAGATAATCAATTTGATTGCTCGATACTTTTCAAAAAGATAAATGTGCAATTAATTAATATGTGTCATCTATTTATTTGGGATTGCTGCGGGGGACATCAGCCTCACAGTTGGCTTGTTTGTTACTATTATTAGTATCAGATAGTTTTGACCATCAGCTTTACACTACAAATAAGACCTTACTTTATTTATATGATTTAACAAAACACCCGAATTTTATGCCGTTTCCTTATTTAGGCTTTTCCTTTCCGTGACATAGTGGCTTACATATCACAATATTTTTCATTAATAACACCTTTAATAGACCAGGAACCCAGGCGGTCACCCTAGCTGTCACCCTAGCTGAAAAGTGTACCAATTTTCTCCTAAATGGTATCAATGCATGTATATTTGGTATTATCAGAATGTAAGCCTGTTGGGTTTCTGGTGGTGGGTGTGGTATTCAACGCCCAAAATACAAAATACAATGCCCCCCCCCCCCCAAACTAGGCTAGATTACCTCAAAAGGGTACCACGTGACAATCGCACAGCAGTGGCAGTGTACCGTACATCTTCAGGTATAACAAAAACATTCTGACAGACATTTCTAGTGGTGGGTTACCCCTGACAGCTATTTAATTGTCAGACATTTATAGTGGTAGAGTATCTCTGACAAGAGTTTTCTTATTTCCAAAGCTAAAATCTGAAGCACATAAAAGAGCTTTGGAGTTGTTCAGTACCATGACAGGAATCATAAATGGCCACTGCCATACAGTTTGTGCCGTGGGTTACCCCTAACAGACACGCACAAAATGCCACGCCCCCAACTAGGATAGATTAGCGGGCACTGTTCCCGTGTTTTAATTCAATTTTTAGCCAGGATTCGTAGAATACTAATACCTGGGCACATAATCCAACAGTTCTGCTAATCAAGTTTGAAAAGTTATCGAGACCCGTGCAAACGTCATACTCACAGAGCCACCGTGGCTCCCCCAAAACGACCTACTAGTACTTTCGGAACCATCGTAAATTTTAAACGGATTTCTTCGATTATGATCAAACTACTTATCTTTGGTTATTGTAAACTTACCTGTGTGTTTGAAATACCCATGTTTTAAAGTTGGGACGAGTAGTCTTTTATATTGGGATGAGTTGTCTTTTACATTGGGTTGAGTTATCTTTTATTGGAATGAGTTGTCTTGGGATGAGTTGTCTTTGGGATGAGTTGTCTGTATACTGATCCCAATCATTCCAAGTTACAAATAAATACCGCAACAAATATTGATTTTTTTTGTATTTATTAAATTAATCAGTAATATAAATATTTATTACATCAAAAATTTATATAAGAATTTATTACATCAACCATTTATAAAAATAATAATGTTAAATTATTTATTACATCAACAATTTATTAAATAGAGAGAGAAAGAGAAATGGGGTTTAGCGTCCACTCGACACAGACTAGGTCATATCGGGACTAACATATCATTTTAATTTTATTTCAATAATTCGCTTGCGCGTAGGGGTCTTTAGCAGTGGGAGGAAACCGGAGGACCCGGAGAAAACCCACGAGGTTGGACAGGCAACCCTACTCCTTGTCACGTACAACCGGGGATTCGAAACCACGCCAGTTGACTCAATGACAGGCCTCGTGATACAGCGTGCACGTCTAACCATTCGGCCATCCAACCCCCCCATGATGAAAATATATTCTTTATCAATTATTTTTTTTTTAAATTTATTGTAAATAATACTTAAATCACACCATAGCCCCAACCTTTAATAGAAGGCTTAATCTCGCTTTAACTACGTACATCGATCAGATGTTGTAAAACTCATAGTCGTTGCTTCAGGAACATGCATATAGCCCTATAATTTTAAATACCCCGTACATGTACGTATTATATATATATCAGATTAAAGATATTCATGGGTAAAATTTAAGACCCGTAAAACGAATGTCATTGTTTTTGTGTCGTATTTGTGTTCAAAGGAAAATTCATTCACCCAACTCTAATCAAAAATATGATTAAAAGAAAATATTTCGAAAGGTAAAAGCTATAAACTTTGCAAAGATTTTACTAGAATGTTAAAGATAGTAACAAAATAAAGGAATACGGGCAGTTATGTGTGTGAACGCCCAAACTCAATACCAAGTCGGGATTACACAAAACTTGTCGTAAAAGTACCGCAAACCGTGACATCTTGTAACCCCTTTATAAATACGAAACGATCTCTCCCGAAGAGTGACGTAATCGGCTTCCATTTTGGTATTGTGGGAATTCAATATTTTCAAGAGAGAACTTTTTTATTCGTTGAGATATTAAATTGTGCAATGGATTTTAATTAACGGGAGTTGATTTCAAACACACAGGTAAGTTTATAATAACCAAAGTTAAGTAGTTTGATCATAATCGAAGAAATCCGTTTAAAATTTACGATGGTTCACTTGTTCAGACAGTCGTTTGTGTCGAGTGGACATTAAAACCACATTTCTCTCTCTATACTGACTAAAGTTATTGTAAGCTATTAAAGTATAACATTAGTTAATAGTAGGGGAGTTATGTTCAGGTTGAGGTAGTCTAGTTGGTTGATCACCGAGTGATTACATTTTGAGTTGTATTGATAGCAACTCACATCATGGTCACTTAATATGGTTGAAAAAGACTGACCTTCATTAAGTAAATGATTTAGTTTGCATATACCCGCATATCAACCATGTCCATGCCTCTGCATCCAGGTGTTCGTTTCAAAAAATTACCTTATTATGATGTATTAACAGTGCTGATGAAACCCACTAGTCTTGGTAAGTTAAAATATTATTATATTCCATAATATGCCCATCGGGCATCTCAGATTTACATTGCATAATTCTCATATCTATCAAATAGTCTGTACCGCTCGCTCAAACTTTAAAGTAGGAAATACTGCACGTGCGTACTATACACCGTCAATCTGTTTTACAGACCTAATGCGACATCCGTCTTTTATCTCTGTCCAAGATGACTGACCTTTAAAGGTCAGTCCGCTGTAGTTCTAAGGGTGACGTCACATCATAATGTTGACCAACAAAGCAAGATGGCATCGATAACGCCAAAAAAGATTACTTCTGTGGCTTGTTTTTGTTGTTTTAAAACAAACACGAGCAGGTCAATCAGATTAGACGGTAAAAAAATGTACTTCTGGAAGCATTCAGAGTAAACAAACAGAAAAAAACGTCAAATTGATGGTCACACGTGCGTTGTTTACATCGAACGTAGTAATATGAACTGGTACGGACAGAATTATATCGTTTTATCCATTTTACGCCTCAGCGTACTATTTTCTGTACCTATTTACGCTAATTATGGAATATTTTTTATCAAGATATACTTCAAACACCTTTATTTATTTTTCTAATACTAAAAAAAAATGTTTCAGAATTTAATTTGTCGAAAGAAAAAAGTTAATATTTTGTAGTCATTAAGTCGCATCGATGTCATCCTTATCAGTGATTGTAGCGGCCAAGCGAATATTCACTGCGGATCAGTGTGATACACCGTGTGTACAGTGGCAGTGTATATAAGTATGGAAGGGTATCGCTGCCAATATTGAATACTTTGCGACAATGTCGTTTCCATTGATTATATGTAAAAAGTACAATGTACAAAGTCCTAATACCGATATTGATAAAGTCAAAATACCTCTCAGGCAAGAGTTAAAGGTAAAACGTCAAATGTTAAGTGTTAAATGACAAATGGTTTGTGGGAAAATGCTTTTTTTGACGTGTCTACATTTTACATTTCTCTCATTACATTTCTCTCATTACATTTTACATTTGCGCTCTGCCACATCCCATTTGTCCTTCACGCTTTCTACATAGCAACTTTCGCACAGCATCAACTTGCATATGCAAATGTAGGATATCATGTGACTTATTAACATATATGGAAACCCGGCACAATCACACTATAAGGATATTCACCGCACGACAAAAGAAATCAAGCTGGCACACCATAAGAAACTATCTAGACGACCGTGCGTAATTTTGAATGTACCAGGAAATAATTGATAGATTCAAGGGAGAGAGAGAAATGGGGTTTAACGTCCACTCGACACAAACTAGGTCATTTCGGGACTAACATATGGTTTAATTTTATTTACATAATTCGCTTGCGCATAGGGGTCTTTAGCAGTGGGAGGAAACCGGAGGACCCGGAGAAAACCCACGAGGTTGGACAGGCGACCCTACTCCTTGTCACGTACAACCGGGGATTCGAAACCACGCCAGTCGACTCAATGACAGACTTTATAATACAGCTTGCGCACGCTAACCATTAAGCCATCCACCCCCCTGATATATTCAAGCAGCCAAAGAAACATACTTTCCAGTAATTTATAACACAATAACTGGAATTTTGTATTAATACCCGTATTTTTATATTTTAAACACCCCCACTCTTTCCGGTCTCTCTATAAACAGAGTTGAGCAGCCTACTTTGATCCATTAAAAAAAAAACAATATATAAGCATTGTGCCCAACAAATAAATAATATATTTAAAGAGAGGAATGACTTTACATCTTTTAGTATGGACATAGAGAATTTTTGATTAAGCCCTGTATCTTTATTAAGGGCCGGTGGAAGCAATAATTGATTGGGGGGGGGGGCTAACATCCTAGGTCCTTAGGCAAGGGTCCCGGGGTCGCCTAGACCCCGGAAGCTCTTGGGGGGTCTAGATCTTCGGAGACGCTTTCTAAGCGATTTCTGGCTAATAAAATTACTTAGCAATGAAGTGAAATTTTATTTCATTTTTAACTCCTGTAATGCTGAACTTGACAAATTATAAATATATGCATAATGCATGATGAAACTTACAATGTACGTTTATTACCGAAAGATCTCGGTTCCTTTCGATATTGGCGTATATAGGACCGTCACTACCTGGATTGTGGACCCAATAACAGTTTTTATTTGATTTAAAAAGAAAAACATTCAATTATAGCAGGTCAAATTTTTTTATCCGAAATTGACGAGACTTGAAATAAAGGTCTATCTCCCAAAGATCTTGGTTTCTTTCGAAATTGGCATGTATTGGACCGTAACGTCATGGATTATGACCTCTGATTCTACGAAAAATGACATTTTTAGCTTATGGACACTCTAGAGGTCACAATTTTCATCCAATTGTGATGAAACTTGAAATGTATGTTTGGTTCCTTTCCATATTCGCGCATATCTGATTGTAACTTTCCGGATTATAGCCCCTGATTGTACGAAAAATCGCATTTCTAGCTTGTGGTCCCTCTAGAGGTTACAATTTTTATTCGATTTAAAAGGCATTCGAATATATCACCGTTACACCATAATTACGGTTGAGTTCACATTTCCTGAAAATGAGACCGAGCTGCCCGACAAAATGGCATACATATTCAGTTTAGATCTAAATATTAAGGCCACCTCCAGATTTCGCCAATGTAATGAGATGTAAACAAGGCTAGCGCAAACCCTAACCAAAGATCTAGCCCTTACCCTAACTCACAATCCTCTGCACCAATCACTTGCCCTAACCCGGTTTACATGTCGTGACCTTGACGAAATCTGCCAGTAGCTTTAACATTAGGATCTGATCGTAGCGGTTCGAATTTTTTATCCAATTTTGATGAAATTTAAAATATATATTTATATCCCAAAGATCTGGGTGTCTTCGATATTGGACCGTAACTTTCTGGATTCTGATCCCCTGATTGTAGGAAATATCATGTTTTTAGCTTACGGGCCCTCTAGAGGTCATAATTTGTATCTTATTTTCAAAACTGTTAAAATATATCACCGTTACACAATAATTATTTCCGCAAAATCGGATCGAAACTTCCACGTCAAATAGCCACTCCCCTTTTCGAAAATAGTATAATAAAATCATGTAATACCCAGGTTGTGGACCATCTAGAGGTCACAATTTTATCCGATTTAGATGAAACTTAAAAAAAAGTATCACTAGTTCATGGGTGGGTTCCATTTGCTTGCGCATCTGCCCCTGCCTTTTACACAAAATGTTAAATATGAATGAAGTTTGTGTACCTTTCACTATGAACTTCAACTGTGTGTTAAGGATCAAAAGTTCTTGGATCAGTTCGACTTTGGTAGCATCAGACCTTACATTCTAGAGCTATAGCCCCTGCTTTTCACGCAAAATCTGAAATATGTACGGATTTTGTTGGCACCCCCTACCATTGTTGTCCCATTCTGATGTACCTTAAATATGTTAGGGATCTTGAATGATAGGAAAGCCCTTTTGATTTTACCTCTTCCCCGTCCATTTCTTACAAAATGTGGGCATATCTTGCATAGCAGTGAATTATTTGATGGATAAGGGGCACAAGGAACGAGTATAAATAAAACTCTATCCCGTCGTTTTTCTAATTACCTAACCAGTCATAGATACAACAGACATGAGATGGACTTGAAATAAAGATCGACCGTTCGGTTATCTAATCGCGACCGTCGCAACCGCGGGTGTCTTTACCCTGGGAACAGTACAGAGCATAGCAGGGTTTTCTTTTTCTGAAAGTCTACGTTCTAGAAGTAGTGTGCCAGGTTTCCGTATATGTTAATAAGTCACGTGATATCCTACATTTGCATATGCAAGTTGATGCTGTGCGAAACATGCTACGTAGAATGCGTGAAGGACAAATGGGATGTGGCAGAGAGCAAATGTAAAATGTAATGAGAGAAATGTAAAATGTAGACACGTCAAAAAAATCATTTTCCCATAAAACATTTGTCATTTAACAATTAACATTTGACGTTTTACATTTAACTCTTGCCTTACAGGTATTTTGACTTTATCATTACCGGTATTATGACTTTGTACATTGTACTTTTTACATATAATCAATAGAAAAGACATTGTAGCAGAGCATTTAATATTGGCAGCAATACCCTTCCATATTATAAGAACGTGACATATTACCACACGATGTCTTTTTCTCGTTGAGTCTAAGAATAGATGTACCCCATATACACGTTGTGTATATTTTTATTAGTAGAAGCGTAGCTTCTTAGATTAACATTACATTATTACTATAATAATCGTAAGTTTTACGCGTCATCATTCATGCAATCGTTGTCATGTGTATTAGTAAGGATTTTCTTTACTTTACAGCGCTTGGATCGTCGATTCAGGTTGTTTTGTTTTTTTCGGCTGTTTATTCAACACGTTGTGTTGAAAACCATATATATATTTGTTTTTGGTTTGATAGAAGTAATTTGTATTTTTACTCTGTGATATGGATGATCACATGTTTGAAAGCGACTGTGCTGAATTCGATGGCTTCCGCCCCACCGATGTTGACAAACGTGTTGTGTCAAAGGGTCAGGGGTCAGAGGATCACGTGGTTAAAGCCACTTCCTCTGATTTGTTTGTAAACAATACGAGTAATGCCGGAAGATCGGATAAGACACCGGTTGGTAAAAAACGGAAGGCTACTTCTAAGGTTAATAACAAAACGATTAAAAATGCCAAAAAATCTGATACCATGCTGTCTATTGGCATGACATCTTCACGTAAACCTACTACCGAATCATGTCTTTTCACTTCCATGAATGGGCCTGGGCCCTTATTCACGAAAACTTAAACTAAGATACAACCGAAATTTTAAGAAATACTGCAATTCGATTGGCTGACCAGTAAAATCAATTTGCATATATCCAATGAAGTTGCAGTATTTCTTAATATTTCGGTTTTAACTTAGTTTAAGTTTTGGTGAATAAGGGCCCTGTTGACAGCAGTCATTATACCGGTAATCATAATGTAAAGTTTCCATCCAACAATAATTTGTTGGATTTACAAAAACAAATTTATACTTTAACCAATATAGTTTCAGATTTGAATAGAAAGTCTTCAAATTCTCGACAGGCAGCTGCCTGCACTGTTACCTCCGCTTCCACTGGTATTAATAAAATTAATAACGATGATAATTTTCAGGGTAGAGGAGGAATCGCAGATGAAGATATGTTTTATCTGTTTGATGAGGACAAATCTTATATTTCAGAACCTATTTTAGATCTAGTAGATCCTCAGCATATGTAGGATGAGTTTAAAGAAACTTCACCTAAAAATGTGGAACTATCTGCATCTTGTTCTGATTTGTCTAATATGAAGATACCCAAAATTTTTCAAAATGAAGGAAATTTTGGTGATCCAGTTAATGAAAAGATTTCGGATCTTGTTGATGTTGCCACCTCTAAGAAGGGGGATTTGACTAAAATAACTCCAAAATATGTGATCCCAGATAACTGTAAACGGCTTACCCCCCCCCCTCCTGTTGATCAAGATGTCTGGAATGTTTTGCCTAAGTCTGCCAGATCCCAGGACATTTCCCTTCAAGAGGTCCAAAAACTATTTGGTTTTGGTATGGCTCCACTAGTAAATATTCTATCTGGGTCTACTACTAATCCTGAGATCAGGGAGAAAGTTGTTGACTCTATTGCTGTTTTTAGGCAATGCTATGCTGGATTTGTCTATTCGTAGACGCCTATTTCTGCGGAAATATATGAGCAAACGATATCAGCCGATTTGCTCTTCAACTCGGCCGGTATTAGAGAAATCGATCAATCAAACCGTCTTTATGGCACACGAGGGGGCAGAGTATTAAATATTTGGGCTCAAAATAATTATAATTTTAATAATAATAATACTAATACAAGACCTTTTTTAGGCCAGAACTCCCGAGGATTTCGCAGGTCCTGGCGCGGGAGAACCCTATCCTCGAATCCTGTTGCAGGACAATGGAGGGGAAGAGGTCGTCCACAGTAGAGGTAAGTCCAAGTTTTGTTGCTGGACAAATTTCCAAGTGTTTTGATAACTGGCGCATTTTGACATCAGATAAGTGGGTTCTTGATGTTGTAAGTGGATACACTATTGACTTCGGGTCACCTCCATATCAAAATGTTTTACCAACTACACCAAATTTTAGTTTTGACCAAACGTTGTTAATAGATGAAGAAATACAAAAAAATGTTGTTGAAACAAGCAATTAAGAAAGTCCCTTCTGTTCCAGGTCAATTTTTATCAAATATTTTTCTTGTAGAAAAGAAAACTGGTGGTTTTCGTCCAGTGATTAATTTAAAAAATTTGAATAAGTTTGTTGAATATGAACACTTTAAACAAGAAACTCTATCTATTGTTGTTAAAGCTATCCGTAAAGATGATTTTTTAACTTCCATAGATTTAAAAGATACTTATTTTTCCATTCCCATTAATGAAATCCACGGGAAATTTTTAAGATTCTTTTGGCAGGGAGAAATATTTGAATTTCAATGTCTTCCGTTTGGTTTATCGTCGGCTCCAAGGGTGTTTACAAAAACTTTAAAACCTCTGTTTGCTTTTTGGGACAGTATAGGTATTTTGTGTTCTTATTTTATTGATGATTCACTTTTTATATCCTCATCCATTTAGGAGAGTATTAGTAATACCAGGAAAGCAGTTAGTTCTTTTGAACAATTGGGTTTTTCAATAAATAAGGAAAAACTAGCCTTATGCCATCTCAGCAGATAACATTCCTAGGTTTTGACCTGGATACTCACACATATAAAATCTATGTAACAAAAAATAAATTGGAAAAAATTAAATCCAAGGCTCATAAATTATTAGACCACAGTAGATCATTACTTGATATAGCGTCGTTTATTGGTTACAAGAACTGCTATCTACTTGGCACCTTTATTTATTCACTATTTGGACAAACATAAAAATAGGTTATTGTCTATATCTTTTAATTATGACTTAACTACAGAATTAACTTCTGATATGATTATGGAAATTAATTGGTGGATTAATAATGTAGATGGCTGGTATATTCAACCTCCGGAAATAACTAATTATTTAACTACAGATGCTAGTCTCCTTGGTTGGGGAGCTCATTTGGATAATCATCAGGCTGTTAGTGGATTATGGAATCAATATGAATCAATTAATCATATAAATTATCTTGAATTATTAGCAATAGATTCTGCACTTAAAACGTTGTATAAATTTTGTTCAGATATCCATATTTGTGTGTTATGTGACAATGTGGTGGCCATTTCATATATTAACAATATTGGTGGTCCTATTGAGGAATTATTTAAGCTATCGAAGTCTATTTTGCTATGGTGTAATGAAAGGAATATTTATTTAACCGCAAAACATTTAGCAGGAAAGCTTAATATTCGAGCCGATTCTTTATCAAGAGTTGTTTCCAACTCGACTGAGTGGAAATTAAATGAGTTTATTTTTCGGAAAATGTGCACTTAATTTTTTTATCCAGATATAGACCTTTTTGCATCAACAATAAACAAACAGTTACAAAGATATGTTTCTTGGTTTGATGATCCATTTTGTGAAACATCTGATGCTTTTTCTTTTTCGTGGTCACAGCTTAATCCATATATTTTCCCACCTTTCAGGGTTATACAAGTGGTTTTAAACAAAATTTCAACAGATATGGTCAACAAAGTGATGTTGGTGGTACCGGGTTGGTCTTCACAGGTATGGTTTCCAACTCTCCTACGAATGTTAATAGAAAATCCCAGAAGACTTCCTTTGCGGAAGAATTTGCTACGCTTGGCCCAAAACAATACTCTTCATCCAACGAGAGGCAAAAAACTGTATCTGACCGTTTGCATTGTATCGGGCAATATCTCCAAAATTCTGGCTTATCAAAGAACGCTTCCAGTAACATCATCAACTGTTGTAGGAGATCAACCCATAAGCAATATGATCTTGCCTGGAGGAGGTGGTATCTTTGGTGTATTAAACAACAGGTTAATCCCTTGGTACCCTCTATAAATGATGTGATAAATTATTTGGCTTTACTTGATGAACAGAAATTATGTTATAGTGTAATAAACGTTCACAAATCTGCTATTTCTTAGACTCTTAGTTCTTGCGGAAATAATATAATGAAAGGCAACACATTACTTTCTTGTTTTATGAAAGGTTGTTACAATTTTAAGCCTCCTAAGCCAAGATATTCTCATTCTTGGGATGTACGAATTTTATTAAATTATTTGACAAGTTTATACCCTCTCCAGCAACCGCACAGAGGTGTCAGACTTAAGCAAGTTTTTCTTTAGATTCCTTAGTCGATGATGATTCCGTGTTGACACTTGGTTCATCTACAGTATTGAAAACGTCTAGAGCATCTAAACCTTTATATAAAATAAAACTTGGAAATTTCTCAAATAAAAGAATTTCCCCATGTTTTACACTTCGATATTATTGTAAAATAGTGGAAGAAAAACGCAAAAGCAGGCAGCTATTTGTATCTTTTCATACTTTCAAGGCAGTGACTTCAAGCACCATAGCACATTGGATTAAACAAAGTATGTCAGCTAGTGGCATTAATACAGATATTTTTAAAGCTCACTCTGTCAGGGGAGCTTCTACATCTGCAGCTTATTTTGCAGGATGTCCAATTTCCGAAATTCTTGCTACTGCAGATTGGAGTTGTGAAACTATTTTTTCTGAATTTTATCTTCGCAGATCTGAAACAAGCACCTTTTCCAAGACGGTATTATCGTCGGTGAATAAATAAATTATTGGTGGTGGTGGTGGTGTTTCCTGTTTTATTGTAAATTTAATTCATTTATTTAAGTAATGAAAAACTAAGGCTAAAATATATTTATATCATATTTTTTGATATGGAATTATATATTTTTTGATATGGAATTCTATTTTTTGATGTGAAATTGTATATATTTTGAAATAGAATGATATTGTTAAATTGAATTTATTATATATTACTAAAGATTTCTGTATATATATATATATATTTTGGGATAATAAATATGTATTGGTTCACTGGTATTTTTCTTTAGTACGCACGTGCAGTATTTCCTACTTTAAAATTTGAGCGAGTGGTACAGACTATTTGATAGATATGAGAATTATGCAATGTAAACCCTCGAGCCCTCGGGCTATATATATTCATATAATTCTTCTCATCCTTCTCGCGCCCTTCGGGCGCTCGGATGAGATTGGAATTATCCAGTAATCCCGGCATATTTGCGGAGAAATTCCCTCTGACAAATGTAAACAAGCCAACTTGTTGCTCCTCGTAAAAGGTATTCCCTGGTGTATTTATGGCTATTGATCCGTGACCCTATGACGATCTTTGCTTTTCTTTAATGGCTTAGAATTTGATTTTTTCACCCGATTATGGCTTCACTTGACAAATAGTTCGATTCGTAATTCGAGTGCAAAACGTATTGTGCAATGCATCGGAAAAGAAATGTGTGCGACAGTGACGGCCTACTGGTTTACTTAAGGCGTCAGATTTTCAACCGGAATTTGCTGGGACGAGATGAAACTAATTTCGGGGCTAAATCACAGCCTTTATTTTGAAACGCTAAAAGATTGTATTTTCTACACAATATCACAAACTTATCAAGGAAGTCTTTGATTAGTTCTTTTTGAAATATTAAAATATACATTATTATCATTATTAATTCAATTTTTATTTTTACAGTGCCTAAAGGTAAAAATCGTTTCCAAAAATCCCTTTTCGCTTTTTATCTGACCCCTCAACAAGCCGAAGATATTGCAATGACAATGTCAACAAGGTAAATGAAATGATTAAAATTCCTATTTATTGCCAGGGGACTATTAAAATGCGTCTGTATGTCCGTCTGTCCATCACTTGGTCAGCTGGTGTAGGTGTTAATTACTTCGATACCTTGATGGAGTGCCAAGATGATCATTTTCTGCTTAAGGTAAGCAGAGATAAGCAATTTGATGGTTGATGCTTTGTGACACGATAACTTTAGTTCTAATTAAGTGAGAGTGCTAAAACTTGGTGTATAGTTTCATGACATCAATACCTTGACTAAGTTCGATAAGATAATGATCCTTTTCTGCTGAGGGTAAGCAGAGCGATAAGCAATTTGATTGGTCAAAACTTTGGAACATAACAACTCTGCTTTTAATTGAGATAGAATGTTGAAACTTGATGTGAGAGAGAGAGAGAAATGGGGTTTAACGTCCACTCGACACAAACTAGGTCATTTCGGGACTAACATATGGTTTAAATTTATTTACATAATTCGCTTGCGCGTAGGGGTCTTTAGCAGTGGGAGGAAACCGGAGGACCCGGAGAAAACCCACGAGGTTGGACAGGCGACCCTACTCCTTGCCACGTACAACCGGGGATTCGAAACCAGAAACTTGATGTTGATGTTCATTAGGTTGGTTCTGTCTAATAGAGAGTGATGAAACTTAGTGTATAGTTTGATTGCTTGATACTTTTGAAAAAGATAAATGTGCAGTTAATTAATATGTGTCATATGTGAGATTAAACTACCAGTTTCACAAATTATTAATTTTTTTTCTCCTTGTAGAGATATTCGTAAAGGAACTAAATGTGAATATACAGTACAACTACAAGTTCAATTACGGTTAGTTATAATTACTGAGGACACTTTTTACTTGGTGTTGTCAAATTCTCTCATAGATTAATTATTGCGTTTTTGATATATGGAAGACTTTTGACAGAGCTCAGTACATATATATGTTCATTATATTTCATTATTTCAAAACATTTCATGTGAATATTGATGTTTAAAAAGTTCATATCTGGGATGATAATTTTCTTTCATCTGTGCCGTATTTATTCACTTACGCACGTTATTCAACCATTTATAAAGAACCCATGTTTAGGTTGTTATTTTAAACTTTATAATATATGGTTTTGCAGCAGACTTTAGAGATTTCTCCCCATGTAACGTTGCATTTTACAATAATACTATTAGATAAATTTTATATCGTTATAGGTTATGTTTGGTGGAAACGAGTTGTGAACAAGCAGACAATTTTCCTCCCAATATTTGTGTCATAGTAAATAGGAAAAGGGTTCCTTTAGTGGTAATGTTGAATATATTTATCTTCATAGCTTCCCTTGTTCCTCAGTTTCAGTGCAAACAAACTATCTTGTTCATACTATTCATTTGTAACAAATATGTGAATATTTGAACTTGATGTTTTTTTGTATAATTTGTTCCAAATATTATTATTTTACATGATTTATTTTTGTTTAATTGATGTTTAATTTAGATGTTTCCTGGGCATCTGAAATTGGGCGGGTAGATTTTCTTTTGTTTTATTTGTGTGTGTTGTTGTAGGGGATTTTCTGTGTTTTCAGACATCAAAATCGAAAAAGAAGGTCTATGATGGTCCTATCACAATTACTTCTTTGTTAGAGTTTCACCCATCACAGCTAAACAGCATACTGGTAACATGGTCTTCCGAAGACACGGTGGTAGGTATACAGCAAGGTTTCTGTTTCACTACTAGACTGGTACCTTTTTATCCCGTGTCGGACTTATGTCAATCGGATATCTACTAATAATAAGAAAAGCAAGCGGGCTTACTGTTCTGATTGCTTTGATACTGTATCAGTATAAAAAATATTAGTGCTATTTATATCCGATTGACAAAATTTTATCTGAAACAGAAGCCTTGGTATACATCTAGTTTTGACCAAACTAACCCACCTACAATCATCTTCACAATATCAATGTTTTACTGATTGCTAATCACATCCAATCACAAAACGATTATCAATTAATACGTCTGGTTATTAAGACCATTTCAGAACAATCTAGTTCTTATTCAAAATATAAATACTTTCTCATTAATAGGCACATGTAAATATTTTCGCCATGTTACAGGAAGTAACGGCAATGGGATTAAAACACAAATCCTATTTCGTTTCATTTTTTATGGTTCAATATTTCGTTTTACTTGCCTTCACTACACTAGGATATGGGAGAGTTGTTATATAAGCCGCATTCTGGTTGAAGTGAGGGATCAGCCAGTGGAATTGCCTGTTCTGACGAGTTCTTGGCATACAGTGCACAGAACTGTGGTTAGATATTCACAGCGAAGACAAAGCAAAAGTTGTATTTCCAAATACCTTCTTGAAACATTAACGGTGATTGGTTAATCAAATGTCTGACGTCATAGGGTCAAAAGTTGCTTGTATGACCCCTTACACGACCTCCCACTACAACTGGTCAGTTTTTCATGTAGTGGAGCCATCGAAAGTATAAAAAACAAAACGAAATATAGATCTGTATTTTAATCAGATTGGAAGACATTATTAAAAATGTCAAATGAATCCAGAAATGTACCAAAGGCTCATTTATCAAATATGCAACCCTGATAAATTTAATTGACAAATGATAATCATCATAGATTCAACAATGTGATGATTGTAGTGTCTTAAAATGTGATGTGTATGGGAAGTCATATAGCCCAATAGTGGTCCTTTGACAAAATAAAATCACAACAGTTTGTTCTCAGAACCCGAATTATTTTTAGATGGCCTATAATGTTCTCTTATCTGATATATCTTTAAAATAAATCTTTTATAATAGAGCGTTTGACTAAACCTGTGATTGTAGTCAAGGTATCTGTGTATGTCATTATAACATGATATTGTTAGGATGACCTACAACAGACAAAATATTTTGTTTATTTAATGTTTTAATTCTGTATAATGTTGCTATAGTTGATTCAGGTCATCCCGTTTAGAAAATAGTAGCTGGTTGTTGCTATAAATAGATTCTTTTAATTGAATCTGTTTAATAAGTTTTGATACAATAGTTTTATGAATTAGGATCGGATGAGGTTACATAAGAGGTGCTATTGAAATATTTTCTTCTTACTGTAAAACCGGTAATTAGTCATGAACAATTTGAAAATCAACATTCTTGTTGGCAATACATCGAAATTTGACATAAAAGTTATACGAATATGGATTTCTTTATTGTCCTCTGGTGGTTGAGTGGTCTTAACGTGTGCGCTTTAGATCATAAGGTCTGTCATTGAATCAGGTTGTGTGGTTTCTATCCCAGGCTTGTACGTGACGAGGAGTAGCGTTACCAGTATCACACACTCAACCTTTGTTGATTTTCTCTGGTTTCCTCTCACGGTTAAAGACCCCCTGTATAAGTAAATTTTTGAAATGGCAATTGTACCATATGTTTGTCCCTAAATGACTTTAGTCGACAAAACCAGTTAGTCGAATTTTTTGACATTTTGACAGTTGAAAAACTAATTCTGAAATACGTTACACAATGAACTAAGTAAGTGATGAAATTAAACTTTTACTAAAGCATTCTCCTTTAACAGCCGAACAAAATATAGAAATAACCATTATATACATGAATTTTGCATGAAATGTCTAAATTAATTTTTGGTATAAAATTCATATTTATGAAAATGGCATTAAATGTTGATTATTTCATCCATTTACATGAAGGGTCTATCTACAGTTGTTTTTTAATGACATGACTTTAAAATGCATATCTATATTTTAACACTTTTTATGACGTCAAACATCGGAGTCTTTAACAATTTCATTACATCTATACCTTTACAATGTTTGATAATTGTTAGGTTATGCAGATCATTCATAAAGAATTTGATTGCTTTATACTTTATAAAAAGATAAATGTGCAAGTTATTAATAAGTATCATCTATTTTATTGAGTGATTAAGGCAGGGTATATAACTATCAGCACCCCTGTTGACTGCTTCAAGCAAGTTATTAATCTTTTACCTTTATTATTAATAAAGAAACGGGGGGGGGGGGGGGGGGGCTAATGGTTTAAGGCGTGAGTGTGAAATCATAAACGCTGCCATTGATTCAATTGTTGTAGTTTCGATTCTTCGCTTGTACGTGACAAGGACTAGGGTCACCTGTCTCAACCTTGTGGGTTATCTCCATGTCCTCCTACTCATGAAGACCTCTACGTGCAGCCGAACTATTGCAATAAAATTGAACCATATGTTAGTCCCGAAATGGCCTAGTTTGTGTCAAGTGGCGTTAAACCCCATTTCTCTCTCAGTCTTGATGAAATAACCCTATTTGCATTAATTAACTTATATATGACACAGTTTAAGTTTTTATCACATTAAAGTTTCAATGCACTTTTTCTATTTTTGTCAGCTGATATCATTCCGATATTCTTTTTCAGATAGAATAAAATAGGAATAATAGAAATATTCATTATCTACTATGTATTGTATTAAAGATTGATATTAATAATAGTAACATTCAGTTTCTTTGTGCATGTGTTAAATACTGTAACACCCTAACTTTCTAATATAAACTGCTTTATTATGCATAAATTACTGATACAGCTAACTATTGTGTTATCAATGATCAGTTTGTCTCAAATTTCTATATGAATTAAAGTTTAAAGTGGAATTTGCTGAAGAGAAAGGTAAACATCTTACTTAGTGAAATGTATATATTACAATCATAATCTGATATGAAAACATTGATATTAATAATAAATCAATTTTTGTTTTTACATATACAATATGTTACATATTGTTATTAATATTGATTTGGTAATTGAATATTTAATGTAGTTTATACATAATATTTCATGTATTATTTTCTATAATTATTTTTACAGAGATATTGTTTAGCAGTATTTCTTGTATGTCCATTGACGTCTGATACTTTATTAAAACGATTAAAAGTGTATGGTACAAGACATCCAGATCATACACGAGCATTAAGTAAGTAACTGGCACATGCCTGTATAGACCAATTTCTAACTGTATTAACTACTGGTACATTATTGTTTAGGCCAAAAAGAAAAATACCTGTGTTTATGTCTTTTTAGGCTACGGTTCTATAAATTGATCTTGGTATGGTTCTAGCATTGAAATTCAGTATTTATGTCTGAATCTGCATTATTTTCCAGAACCTTATTCAGTAATTAAGGTAGAAATGCTAGGAAATAAATAATAGATATATTTCAAATGGCATGACGGACTAATTATTGATGCTAATATCCATATACAGAATGTAAATAAGTTTATATACAATCAGATTACATTATTATATGCGTTGCGACCCATTTGAGTCAATTTCTAGGTCCCAAACATTAGCAATTTAGCTACTTTAAGTGTTATTTATTTTTACTTTTTCTTCTGCAGTCAAGGGAAAGTTAGGTAATGCTCCAGGCAGTGAAATTGCTGCAACTGGTCTCAGGGTATCACTCATGTGTCCGGTAAGATACTTTGTTATTTCTTAAGTCAGATCAAAATCTCTATACTTTCTTTTAAACCAATCACTCACAAAAACAGAAGGATTTCCAAAACTTGACAGTCCTTGAGGGATCACATGGCTAAGTGGGCAAGACGCTGTCTCGCTAGCCTGGAGGTCAGGTGTTCGATCCCTGCATTGGCCGAGAAAGTTCATTCAGATTTTCCGGCATGGTTTCCCATGTCTAGTCGTTCGGATGGAACGAAAACCTGAGGTCCCGTGTACACATTGGCGTGCATGTAAAAGATCCCTTGGCAGTTGGAATTCAATATAAGAGTAGACCGTAGCTCCGCTGCCCGGGCAAAATTTCCCTCATAGCACACTGTATGGCGTATGCACGTCTTCATTAGCCCAGGTTAGGAGCAGAACAATAGGACGTTAAACCCCATTTCATTTTTTACAGTCCTTAGATTAAAGCCACCTTGACTGATTGTTATTCCATAGAGTTTGAATCCCTGGTAAACTACAATGTTGAGAAGGTGGAATCTCTAAGTGGACTATTAGTCCAAAAATGATTTAATTCTCTATTACAAACATAATATATTGAAAATTTGTCAACAATCAGCATCCTGGAGATATGTTCAAAACCAGTCAGCACCACTTTTGCTAAAATCTTTTGAAGAGCATTTTTAAATCCAATTGAATCCAAGCCAGTAGTTTGTCTACTATTGATATGTTGTTTTGTTTTCTTATTAAATATTAATTATATTAAATATTAAAATATTAAGTATATTTGAGCTTGTTATGAAAAATCAGATATTTTTCGAAAAATTCAGATGACAATCAGTGGTTTCAAATGATGCATAGACATACTAAATCTTCTAGATTGTTTACTGTTAATATGACAACATATTTATTTCGTAGCTTGGTAAAATGAGATTACAGATTCCATGTAGAGCTAGTACGTGTACACATCTACAATGTTATGATGCTAAAACGTTTTTAATGATGAATGAGCAGAAGTCAACATGGATTTGTCCAGTTTGTGATAAAACAGCCTTTTTTGATCAGCTAATCATTGATGGGTCTGTATTAAATACCTTTAATTAGTTATACTGAATATTCTGTGATGTCAGATTCTTTTATAGACCTGCATCAAATTTTATTTGTACTAATGTCAACCCTGTCCCCTATCAAATATATTTTTCTTAGAATAACACACAAAACTTAAAGGACAGTTTTAAAGGATCATGCCTACAGAATCCCATGTTTTCAAAAGACGATCAACTACCACAAATTTCTAAAAGTGGCATAAAGACTATTGGCACACACTAAATATTAGTGTTTACCAAATCATTTTTCAATTTCCACTTTTGAATAACTTCAATTATACAATATTTCAGTTACTTCTTGGAGATTATTTGTGCATCTCCTGAATGTTCTGAAATCGAATTTCATCCTGACGGCAATTGGAGTCCATTAGAGCAACCAATAGAAACACATGTTATATCTAGTCCTGTTGTTAAGGTAACAACTAAACCCAAACCATCATCTACTTCAACTATAGAAGGTAATTAATTGTCGAGAAATCGGCAACATCGCATTCAAACAAATCCAGCCATCAGGAGCCACTGGGGGAGGTGCTCAGGAAACAATTTAAGACTGATTAATAGCGGGCGATATATATCTCTGGGAGCCGAGATTGAAAAAGAGATAAAGAAGACCGCTTAAGTTTTGTGACTAAACTTTATATAAGGTTTTGAGGTTGCATGTTCCAAAGTTTTGAGCTGCAGCCCTCTCTCACTAACGTTGTTTGAACCCCTGTCTGTGATCTAGTTGTTTGCATGGGTCGAGATACCCCCCTGCCTGTGATCTAGTTGTTTGCATGGGTCGAGATACCGAGATCTTGTTTAAAATTGGGTATACACATAAGGGCCCTTGACAACTTTGCTGAATAGCCCTAAGGTATGGTCTATGATTTTCTTCATTAGTCATTTTGGTGCAGAAATGTAGGATTTTAAATCCCATTCATTTTATTTCCATTTATGTAAGGATTTCATTATTTCAGTTACAGATGGGCCTGATATAATAGATCTGACGTTAGATAGTTCAGATGAAGAAGGAGAAGCACGTAGCTCATAAATCAGTTTCGTATAAAGGGTGCGTTAGTCCAGGAATTATCAACCCAGGCAGCATTTCATCGTTAGATTTAAATAAGTCCTAACACACGCTCACCTTTATTTAACCTAATTCAACTCTTAGCACCTGCACATCCTAAATCATCTATATCTCCCTTCTTCCCATCATCTCTAACTCATAACCTCCCATCATTACATTAGCCATCCTTAGTACCTAGTAGTAATATTGGTCCAAGTTCATCACTGAGATTACCGCTACCTACCCTCTTTAGTTGAAGTGGATGCACCATCCACCAGTGATTTCTTGGCTCCAGTAACCAAACATCTGACGGACAATGAATTTATAAAGTTTCTCAATAATTTAAACTGGTATTAATAGGTTATACTTAAGTTATATGAGAGCATGCTCAGGGATCATGACAATACGAAATTCATTTGTAATCTTGGTTATATCTTTTACATATATACTCAGATTGGAGGCTTTGAGGAGGTGATCTTTAGTAAGGAATTCTTCAGTTTCTTGCAAATATCACACACTTTTAGTACAGTAATAGTCACATTTTAAGACGATAGCTGTTTCATTTCCACCAACCAAACCTTTATATTTATTCAAATGCTTTGTTTTGGTGTGTAAATATCATTTTTTAACGAAAGGGCTAAAGGAAGAAGTCCAGAGTTATTAACTATTATAAATGTAATTTCCATATTGTTACTATATGTAGGGAGGTGGGGGGTGGTCGAATGGTTAGCACGTGTGTGCTGTATCATAAGGCCTGTCATTGAGTCAACTGGTGTGGTTTCGAATCTCCGGTTGTACGTGACAAAGAGTAGGGTCGCCTGTCCAGCCTCGTGGTTTTTCTCCGGGTCCTCCGGTTTACTCCCACTGCTAAAAGACCCCTACGCGCAAGCGAATTATTGAAATAACATTAACCGAAATGACCTAGTTTGTGTCGAGTGGACGTTAAACCCATCTCTCTCTCTCTCTCTTTCTCTCTCTCTCAAAGTAATTTCTTAATCATTTTAACACAACTGAATCATTTTAACACAACTGAATCATTTTAACACAACTGAATCATTTTAACACCTTTTCTGACTGACCATTGACCAGCTATTGACTGGGTTTTCATGAATTCTGTCTCGGCTTAATTTCATATTCATGTCTTTATTCACATCCTTATAACGGACAAATGTTTTCATATAACTGCTCTTGTTTTTAATTTTTATATGGGAACATGGAAATGTAGTCGTATATTGTGGTCGGTCCGTCCGTCGGCCACAATTTCTTGTGAACTCTCTACAGGCTACATTTATCATCTGATTGTTTTGAAATTTATATATGTTGTTTGCATTAGTGAGATGAAGAAGCCTATTTAATTTCAATAACTTCCGTTAATTTCTTCTAGAATTATGGCCCTTGTTTCACTTTGTTGCACATTGGGAATGCTCTAACAACAAAAGTTATCAACCGATCTGTATGAATTTAATATGCATCATTTAAATTTCAGCAATTTCCGTTAATTACATCTAGAGTTATGGCCCTTGTTTCACTTTATTGAACCTTGTGAACGCTCTAAGGTCAAAAGTTATCACCCGATCTTTGTGAAACGTATATGCATGATTTAAATTAGTGAAACGGAGAATCCTATTGAATTTTAGCAATTTCCGTTAATTACGTCTAGAGTTATGGCCCTTGTTTCACTTTATTGAACCTTGTGAATGCTCTAACGCCAAAAGTTATCACCCGATGTTTGTGAAATTTTAATGCATGATTTAAATTAGTGAAACCAAGAAGTCTATTGAATTTCAGCAATTTCCGTCGATTACTTCTAGAGTTATGGCCCTTGTTTGACTTTGTTGCACCATGGGAACGCTCTAAGGCTCTACCGATTTGTATGAAATTTACATGTGTCATTTAGATTAGTCAAGAGAAGAATCCTATTGAATTTCAGCAATTTCTGTTTATTATTTCTAGAGTTATGGCCCATGTTTCACTTTGTGAATGCTCTAACTTCTAAAGATAACTGCCGATCTGTATGAAATTTATACGTGCCATTTAAATTAGTCAAGAAAAGAATCCTATTGAATTTCAGCAATTTCTGTCAATTATTTCTACAGTTATGACCCTTGTTTCACTTTGTTGCACCATGGGAACGCTCTAATGCTCTGCCGATCTGTATGAAATTTACATGTTTCATTAAAATTAGTCAAGAGAAGAATCCTATTGAATTTCAGCAATTTCCGTTTATTACTTCTAGAGTTATCATCCGATATGTATGAAATTTATATGCATCATTTAAATTTGTGAAACAGAGGTCTATTGAATTTCAGCAATTTCAGTGAATAATTTCTAGAGTTATGACGATTGTGAACCTTGTGAACGTTTGAATGACAAAAGTGGTCATTTGATCTGTATGAAATTTATATGCATTATTTAAATTAGTAAAACGAAAAAGCCTGTCCAATTTCAATTATTTCTGTAGATTAGTTCCAGAGTTGAGAACCTTCTTTCTGTTTGTAGAACCATGTGAACCCTCAAACGATAAAATTTATAATCTGATCTGTATGGAACTGTTTTGTAAAGGCCCCCAATTACCTACAAAGGAATAAATATGCGACAACCCTTGTCGACCGCTCGGACGATTTAGCTGCTGTGGGCGTATGTTTCCTTCCCTGTCAACCTATCTTTCATTTTGGAAGCACACCTAAAATTCTGTTTTAAAATACACTGTTCTAACATTAAATTCTGTTATTACCACTGTTCTACTTGGTATTGAAGCTCTGTTTAATGTCTTGATATATTTCCTTCTCACAATCATCCATTCAGTTTTAATTTTCTTGGTGATGGGCTGATTCTGTGGTGGATTTATTAATAGAAATATCCTAGTAGTCTAGACCCAAAAGAATCTTTAGGGTCCACTTATCAGGAGTTGCTTCTACATTCCTGACCCATGATTTTGCATGAGGAAGAAGATCCCGTCTAAGCCCCCAAAAAACAATATTTATATGTGGGAGTGGGGGTAGGGTGGCAGTCCCTCCCATTCCCAACGAGTAATATTGGGCTGTGTGGAACATGCATATCTGACCCAGGGTACATGTTTGACACGTGTTGAGCAGGATTATGATTTTAATGTTTGAAATTGTATGATTTTTGCCATTTACCAGGAGTGTAAGAACTCAAAACCATGACGCAAAGCTTGTCATTGCATCCTTTTTACTTAGCCCCAGCTGACATGGAATGTGTACCGAGACAGTTATTTTGATTATATAGAAAAACGAGGGCCGCCAATTGATTGTTTTGAATCTTAAAAGTCTCTTTTAAACGGTTTCAAATTTTAGACGGTAGATTGAAAATAACATCGTCTAGGTAAAATTCTCTGCCCTCGTAGAGCACTTATAATAATAATAAAATTACCGTATGTTAAGTCTAAATATGGAATAAGTATTGTGTTATTGAGTTGCTCAGTGCATAGTAAAGTATCTGATATCTATTAATTTTACATAAATGGCTGATTTCTTTCATTTTTAGACGATCCGGAGTTCTTCTCGATTATGAAAGCGGAAAGAAGATTGTTAAATTAAATAATAAAAAAATAGATTATGTTAAATTAAAAAAAAGAAGATTATGTTAAATTAAAACAAAAAAATGGGATTATGTTAAATTAAGTAAAAAAAAAAATATCTAACATAGCTCTAAGGTTAAAGTTATTTGTCTACTATAATATATGTATATAATGGAAATAGGAAAGAAGGCTGTTGTGATAGTTAGATGGCTGTTTCCAGTGCTGTTACATAACCCGTAGTCAAAGATCATACATAGTGTGGATGCTATTTAGTTTAGTCTTTAATTTTTGACAGAATTTATTTATATATATGCCCATGTTAAGTCTTTCATTTGGTGGATTAGCCATTATTTGGCCATTGACACAGCTTGAGTGGCAGCTACGATTCCAGATGTCCCCCCCCCCTCCAAAAAAAAATTAAACATACCAAAACAGAATCTGAAAGTGGTGGAACACCTAGAAACTAAGTTGCAGGTCTGGGCCAATTCTCAATCAAAACGTTTTCTTTGAAACAATCGTATGATTAAAATGTATTTATTTTATATTACATGTATATGTGTAAACTTTTGTCAATATGTAATTATATGTTGCCATGTTAATTAAGATAATACCGTTGTCAAGCAAAATACAAACGAATACTGTCATAAAAAACAGAAACTGGAAATAATTGTAAGTAGCCTAGAGGATTTAGGCAAATGATTTGAGTCAATAACTATAGACCTGAATGAATAATATTATCATGCCATTTTCGTTGGTATTTTGTTTGTTTTTTTTTAATTAAAAAGCAATTCCATATTTAAAACAACATGAATGTAAGAAAAAGGAGATTTGAAAATGATTGAAATTTGATGTTATGTTTAGTCTTACACTAATCAATGTAAATTTATATTTATTATAGTGCTATTTCCCCTTGTCAGTGGTGCAGGACGGAGGGCCTGACAAGGACAGCTGTCTAGTCGTTCGGAGGGGACGAAAAACCGAGGTCCCGTGTATACATTAGTATGCACGTAAAAGATCCCTTGACTGATGGAATTCGATATAAGAGTAGGCCATAGTGCCACAGCCCGATAAAAATTTCCCTCATAGCACACTGCATGGCGTATACCCGTCTTCATTAGCCCAGTCGGAGCAGAACAGTAGGACGTTAAACTCCATTTCATTTCGTATAGTGCTAACTTGTTTCTGTCAGAATTCCTTTTTATATATATAAGAACAATTAATTAAATGCATAGAAAGGCTAATCCATGTACACATGTTTAGTTGTAGGTAGACAGTAACTAAGAAAACAATTTATTTTCAATGAAAATAGAAACCACATGCTTACCAATACAGGTGAAAATACACCCACATTGACATGTGGTCGTATATTGTCGTCGCCCCCGTCCGTCCGTCCGGCGTCCACAATTGCGTGTGGACGCTCGTGATCTAGAGGCTCAAGTTAATATCCGATTGACTTTGAATTTATACATAGTGTTAAAGGTCAAGAGACCCAGGCGCCTATTTACTTTGAACGATTTCCAATAATTACTGCCAGAGTTATGGCCCTTGATCGGTTTGAAAAATCTTGATTTTCAACTATTTCTGATTATTACTGTCCGAGTTTTGCCCTTAACTTCTTTGAAAAATCTTGTAGAAGCTCTAAAGGTCACAGTTAATATCCGATTAACTTTAAAATGTATACACATACAGTGTTTAAGGTCATGAGACAAAGAATCCGATTCATTTTCAATGATTTCTGATAATTACAGCCAGAGCTATGTCCTTTGATCACTTTGAAAAATCTTGTGGACAGTCTAGAGGCTAAAGTTAATATAAATTATATAAGGTCTTGAAACAAACAAACAATCGAAACAAATTCTAGGGATTTCTGATAATTACTTAAAAGGTTATTATTCGTAATCAGATTTTCATGTTTGTAAATGTTGTCATTAATGGCAAAAGAAAAAAATATGCGACAACCCTTATTGACCGTCCGGACGATTTTGGTGTGGGCGTATGTTTCGTTGCCTGGCAACCTATCTTCTTCTCAACCTATCATACAACACACCAGAAACTCCATTGATCCTGGACAGATATTTGGCGCCATTTTGTCCTGACTGATATTGGTTGTAATTGAAGACAATTTCGACTGAAGCAATCAAGACTGTGGTATATAGCAGGCAGACATTGAGGAGGTTTTGTAAAATACCTGGAACTCAGTCAATAAAACTGTCAATAAGCCTGTCAGCAATAAATGTATTGGGGAATATTTGGAAATAATAAATGTATATTTACCAACGCCAACATGTTATATTGTTGTATAAACTTCAATCTGATTAAAATACGCATCTATATTTCGTTTCGTTTTTTTATACTTTAGATGGCCAACACTACATAAAGATCTTGACCTGTTGTAGTGGAAAGGTCCCGTCAGGTGTCGTATGACGTTAGACGAATAATCAATCAGCGCTGACGTTTCTATTGGTTTACCAACAGCTCCGTGCACCTCACATCAAAAACTCGCCATACCAGACAGTTTCATTGGCTAATCCCTTACATCATCCAGAACGCGGGTTATATAATAACTCTTCCAGGTCCTGGTGTAGTAAAGACAAGTAAAATGAAATTTTGAACTATAAAAAGCGAAACGAAATAGGATCTGTGTTTTAACCAGATTGTATAAACTGTTCATTTCTTACTCCACGACCTTCACCTTATACTTCCTGTCCCTATTGAACCCCATAGAATAAGTGGGAAATGCCCTCCCCACACACACACACACCTATCTGGATTACTTACTGAAAAAGTTCCATTATAATTCATTAAATTAGAACCGGATTCTTGTCTCAAATCACTGGAAATGGCATTTTCTGGCTTTTAGTTTTCGAGGGTGCGTTGGGTGGCCGAATAGTTAGCGCGTGCGCGTTGTATTATAAAGTCTGTCATTGAGTCAAATGGCGTGGTGTCGATTACCCGGTTGTTTGTGACAAGGAGTAGGGTCGCCTGTTCGGGTCCACCGCCCCCCCCCCCACTGCTAAAGACCCCGACGCGCAAGCGAAGTATTGAAATAAAGTTGAACGAAAAATAAACTACGCTAAAGGAAAATAAACGATGTCTCCAGTCTAAGCAGGAAGAAAGGAATAGAGATTTTGCGCGGTTGACACAAAACTCAATACGAATTGTTCTTCTTCAGGCTAGGTCGTAATTATACCTTTCGAAAGTCTTAGGGAGGTTGAAGACTTGATTTGTGTGTGAACATGAATGTAATGTATATATATTTGTGTTTTATAGAATTAGGTTAAGGCATAAACCTGTATTTTAGGGTACAGGAAAATGTCCAAGGTAAATTTAGAACTGAATGGCCCTTTTTAAATTCGCGGGATAGTGTGTCTTTTGGTACTAGAAAATAGGAGTTATTTTAGTTCTATAAAGGGTGCTCTGTTTAATATATTGAAGTCGTTAAACAAATGGGTGACAACGACAAATCTGCTGAGTAGGTATTTTGCAAGATTCAACTTTCCCGCCAATATCAATTGCTGAAAGTAGGGTAGTATCGTCCAGTCATCTCGTGCACAGATTAGTCCAATCAATGTTGACGTAAAATGGTGCCCATACGAAACAATTACCCCAAAATGGTAATTGTCCCGCCATAATAGCAGACGCATCTATACTTTCTATATAAGAACGAGCGGGGTTAAATTTCCCTTCATCATTCAGTGTTCCTAGGGAAGACATCATGCGGTCTTCCTAGTGAGACATACCGTTAGTCACCTCAGCTTACTGTCCGAGCGAGAACATCATGTAGAACTATCAAGAAGTGTGTGGCTCTTACCACCTTTAGGACGCTAAGGTGTTTTCAGACTTCCTCCAGACATCATTTGGCGTTCCCAAGGAGGACACCATTGCCGTTCCTAGAGGGACGAACAGCCGTCTCGGTTTAGAGGCCGGGGTAGAGACAATAATATGTAGTGTTTCAGTCGTTAGGTCTGAGTTCTAGGCTTGTTAAACCCAGGTCGTAGATACTATAATAACTCCTAATGTACTGTCCTAGATATTGTAGTTTCCTGTATTTAACCTTTGTTTTATGGAGACAAATATATTTCATATATTAACGTAGTCAACATAAACAATGTTCCAGAGTCAATTGATCAATGGAAATAGTTTATACACAACGTAGAGGCCAAAGTTAGTTCCTAATTAATGTGACTAGCGATAGTCAAATTTGTCACTGTAGTGTCACACTAATAGGTAGACTACTTCTGATATTCCGCCGCGTTCAATCTGTGATGTTAAGTTCGCTTCTAGCATGTTAATGCTTGATTATATGGTAAAATCTGCATTAAACATCGACTTCCGTTACTGCAAAAGGTTAATTAAAGCCAAAAGACCGTCAAAAGATGTTTTAGTTTGCCAAGACAACACAATCAACCACATGAAAAACACAAACGGTTACGCATGGGCAATGGACCTTTTAAACTAAAGTCAAGTAACAATTGCGCCCCTTCCCGAAGTAAATGCCGTAATTCATGCATTACAAAAATGAGTTGTGACGACGAATAAGGGTTAATAACCCCCCCCCCCCCCCATAGATATGGTTCTTGAAGAGAGACATCTTATAATAAAAAACTGAGATTTACTTTGCTAACATAGTATCTGCTATATTTAGTAAACGAAGTTACAGTCCGATACATGCCAATATCGAAAGGAACCTATATTTCAAGTTTCATTGAAATCGGATAAAAATTGTGACCTGTAGACTGTTCACAAACAATTGTGGACGGACGGACGGACGGACAGGGGCGACGACAATATACGTCCACATGAAAATGTGGGCGTATAAAAACGAAATCACCGAATTCTTCCTCACGAATCAAGTGAAAAGGCCGCAATGCCTATATCTCCAGTGTCTGGCAGTAGAACGCAATGTCTAAACTACTAGAACACCATTAAAAACGAAATCACCGAATTCTTTTTTACGAATCAAGTGACCAAATTTTAATTCCAATATGGTTTAGTACGTGGATCGATTCAGAACATTTTTATGAAAATCAACACAATCTGGTTGATATGAGGCGATTATCGACTCTGACGACCGGTCTGTGTCTTGCATATGATAAGGTTACCTTACCTCGAGAGTTACTAACTCAAACTCCCCCGATGAATGATACGCGCCCAGTTTTATAGTCGAAGCATGCACGCGCACGATAGTTGATTGGCTCGCCTACGCCAAGCAAGTAGACAAATCGATGAGTTTGGGCGACTGGTTTGAAATTCTTTATGCACATCGGGCGACACTACCACATATATCAAATCACTCAAAAATAAGCCTTCTGTAACAAAATACATTATTTCAAAAAGCTCCAGTGCCTTGTTCCTAAGTTTATGTCATATATTTTATTAATTCGTTTGGAGACTATATGAAATTGAATTGCATTACTACTGCTTTGATTACCACTGATTACAATTATAACATTGAGACTACAGTATCATAAAATATTTTATTCATTCCATTGAAAACCAAAGTATTCATCTGTGGGCGAAGGATAATTTTTTCTTATTTCCATGAAAATACACGCTGGTAATGACACTCTATTCTTGGCACCCAACTTTTCACCATCCAGTAACCACTCCAGGACATGTCTGTAGGCAACAAGCCTGTGTACTGACTGAAATTAGAGCAATGTTACAGTATTATTGTTATTTTTAATAATTTTTATTATTGATGTTAATACAGGGTTTTTCACATTTCTTGTGTGTTAAATTATATAAATAAATTGAAATGATAATGGTATTATGTCATTTTTTTGTGTTTTACAGTTCAGATTGGCAGCCATCTCTTGCCATGACAGTTTAAGATTACTGAATTTATGTTTACAGAAAGATCAGTTTTACACATACAATTTGTAAACATATTTGTAAATTGTCTAGTCAAATCTATTAATGTGTGACAAAATTATACAACTGATTAATGAAAATAGAAATAGAAGTAGGCCTACTAAATAATTATCCATTTGCTATCTTGTAACCCAAACTCATTGGTAAATCTGATTGTCTAAAAGGTAATCCAATGGTTGGCTTATATTAATGTTATATTACTGAGCATCCCATAAATTGGTACATAGTACAATGGAAGATTCCATATACATGTAATTACTAAGTTTCCAAACTTGTAATAATCAAATTGTATTTTACATTCAAATTACCTATTAGTTAAACAGCCATTTGGTCCCTTTGGTTTCGGAAACTTCTTCCAATTCACACGGTTTGTTTTAAAAAATGTTGTTAGAACTCCTCTATTAATATGAGGTCCAAAATCACTGTGTTCTGTTATACAGTTTTGTACTGACTCTGCCCCACCTGGAATTAAAAAAAGTCAACAAATTATCAAATGTGTAAAGCCAAAACCAATCACTGATGACAAAAGCGTTTTTCTGAAGCCAAATATAAACATTAATATTTCACACTGAACCATGGATCTGTTTCACTGAACTAATAATCCCTGTGTAAATTGATTAAATTCAGTTTCCAGTAAATGGCCTTATAGCCTACATGTAGGCCTACCATAGATATTAGTATAATATATATCAGGTTATATATAAAATAAATACAGATCTTTAAATGATTAGCTTTCTGTTCATTAATGACAAGTATGCCCCAACAGGAATAACACTAATATTATTATATTTTGTTTATGTTGATATGACAAACAAGTGTCCAGACGACTGTGTAAAGTATCCGGCTCTGGTATGAACTTACGTGTCTCGGGATCAAACTCACGAACCTTTCTTATAGACCGTCTGTCTTCATGACAACACACACATTCATCAGACGTAGGCATAACTGAACAAGAATTACATGTGCACCAGAATGTACTTTCTGTTCGGTATCTTTCCTCCACCATCTCGACAGAAGAAACGGTCGCTGTTTCGTCAACTCTTTTCGCTTTTTCCAATCTCATGGCATTCAGTTCTTCTTGTGAATATTCAGGCTCGAACTGATACCCCTCACGTTTTCATATAACAACTCTTCGTCTTCTGAGATATTATCAGAGTGCTCAAAATCGTCTGTGTTTACATTCATCGTGGTAATATTTCGTGTTTGTTTTCCTTTGATATTCGTCACTTCCGTTTTGAATGGATCGAGGTCACGGTTGAACCGCGATGACAAGGTTCACTTAAAAATTATATTTGGAATCTATGTTAGTTATTCTATTACATATGTAATAATCACTGACACCAATATTGTCCTTTCACACCTACTAATCGACTAAAGAAAGAAAGTCAATCAATGACTGACAAACTGATAGGGATGGGGAGAACACTTTGTCTCAGTTCTCTCCTCTCTCCACCGCCAGATGATAGATACTGGACCTCTCAGCTTATCTGGGATTTCATTGAAGAAATAGGTTTAACCAAACAATATATAATGATATGCATAAGCCAGGTAGTACGCAAAAGTGTCTACTAGAGAGAAGCGTAATCCATCTGGCAACCAAACTAATTAATTAAAAAAACACAGAGCGGGACGGGGCGCAAAACTTGTCCCCATGAGGGAAACGCTCCGTCCTGCACAAACCAATTAAAATAACCTAAGCAGGGTGGTGCGCAATAATGTCCCCAAAAGAGGGTAACGCAACCACCTTGCACCCCATATTATTATATTATATCAAATATATACTTAAATAACGATTGATTGTACATCCATGTAATTTCTTTTTAATGCTGTATTGTACTTACAAATGAAATTGAAATAAAGATCATTTTTAAACTACTTTTTTTTATATACGATATCGACTGTTGAGGATGCAAATATTTAAACACGTGTTACAATCGATTTAAGCCGATAATAAAATTTGCTTCTAAATATACAGACATATTTATGTCGATTTCTGCAACTGATGTTGCTATACCTTTCCTCATAAACGAATATATCCGATCCATAAGCCACGTTTATCTTGAATAACAAATCACGAGCAAGGAGGAAAACACTAACACCACATATATGAAATATTATTTCCAGAAGAACAACAGTAAAGCAACATGTCGACAGGAAGTTGAATAACCAATCACGAGCAAGGAGGAAAAAATTTAACGACCACATAAAAGTTACTGATTTTATTTCCAAACACAACTGATGCATACTATTTGCAGGAAGAACCCTCCAAAAATAGTATGTTCAAACGACACGTCATGTGATCAGTTATTTGTGTATAAAATAAACGATAAACTCCCTTGTTCAATAGTCTAATTGTGTCACGTACTCTTTGCATTAAAACGAAATAATTATACTATTATCGTCATGCGTGTTATCTTTTGGATTGCATTGGTCTTGACCACTGTTGTGACTGTCTCCGGACAAAGGAGTTGGTGGCCTTGGCCAAGGGAAGGGGGCATGAAAAATCCAAGATGCATTAGTTGCACAGAGGTTAAAGAAGCTCATTTGTGTGAAAACTGCTGCAAAGGTGAGGGGTTTTTTTGTTTTGTTTTTTATATTTTTTCGGGGGGGGGGGGCATTTTAACGATTTGTTATTTTCTAATTACACTATACAGGTGGACTGTCGGCCTGTATAATATAATGTCTACCATGCTTTAAAAATCGATATGAGACGTCCGTTGTTTGCAGGGACGGACTGGTTAGCTCTGGGCACTGACAGAAACTGGTTGCCTTGGAACCCCATCACAGTGAAAAATACGTTGATTTCCCCAGTTCATTTTTCTTTCCGGATTAAAGCCATTATATTTGTCAGTGGGCGCAAAGAAGACTTTTCAATTTATTAACTAATTTCAAAATAATTTCATCATGGTAAACAAATATCTTTGCTACGGGGCATATTTACGCCCAGATTATATGTTACACTTTTTAAAAATTGAAAAGTTTGTGTGAATCCTTTATAACATTTACCATGTAATTAATGTCTAACTGTGTTATAATGAAATAGAAAAACTATGTTAATTTAGTTAATATTAATAATTCTAGTGTCAGTGTGTGATCCGGATCCTTGCAAAAATGATGGTATGTGTTCACCAGCCGATAACGGTTACATCTGTAGTTGTACTCCTGGGTATTTAGGAGAAAACTGTGACGGTAAGATACACTGTAAATCATATATCAATAATTTTCTGATGGGGCGATCGTTTAGACTTGTATTTGTACTAAACCAAAAGATGCCGCTCTTAACGGTACAGTTAATGATAAAGCGATTTAAAAAATGAAACGAATGTAATTTCTAAATCTGCTGTAATAACCAAGAAGCTTAATTTTACTGCTATTCAAAATCGTCAACAATAAATTTTTTACGGCTGTAATAGTTGATAGATTTGTAGAGAATTGCACGTGCCATGGCTATTTATAGTATCATACTGTCAGAAAGTTGGCCTCGACACGGCGAATGTGCACGCTTCAGTGGTAGTCTCGAACTATCAGCGGTTGACTGTATTTCTGTAGGTGCATGAGCCACCCTATCATGTAGTATTCTCTCAAGCAGGATTGTCTTCATTTCCAGCTTCGACTCATCTCTTGCTGACAGCTCATTTGACAACGCACCGCGATTCTTAGTTTTGATAGACAAGGATAAACTAAGGATAGACGAAAGTCAAATAGAAGCTAAAAAATATTTCGGAGATTGTAATAATATATAATGCGCTTATACTGATTGTATTTACAGATATAGCGGAAACTCTTTCGCGAAAGATTACAGGTAAAGGGGACTAGATTGCGAACTGCGCATGTTACGGTTCTAAATCTAATTATTAAGGCCACCTGCAGATTTGGCCATGGCCGCCGAGAGGTAAATAGGATCAGGGTACGTGCTTGTTGACGAGATTGTGGGTTAGGTTTAAGTATTTGGTGGAGAAGTATTAATAAACAATAATAAGAATATAATTACTTCAAAAATTAAATTGAGAGAATTAATCCTTCGAGAAACCAGCCAACATGTTTATATTGTTTGTGCACATTTAATTCTAGTGAACGTATGTCTACCTAACCCATGTAAAAATGATGGTACTTGTTCACCAGTTGATAACGGTTACAGCTGTAATTGTACTACAGGATATTTAGGAAAAAACTGTGACGGTAAGTTTCTTACATTCTTTATTGTCATAATAATTTAGCATGTCTTGACTGAGTCAGACTGACCAACCAATAAGATCATTTTAGGAAACGAACGGACTCTGGATGCAGCCTTGTTTGACACTAGAGTGACATGAGAATTCACTCGTTACATCTGAATTATCCCATTACATCTGCATTCACTCATTACATCTGAATTATCTCATTACATTAAACTTTATATCATTGTAACCACAGTTCCATATAAGTTTGTTCTAACAATGTATAACATACCTTTTTTCTATTAATTCCGACAAAGGCGCACCTGAAATCATTAATACCTAATATAATCGACCTGTTCAACAGGTACTAATATAAATTCATTACCACTGAATAGTTTTTCCTGATCCCAGCTTATTCCTCTGCTGCTCAATGGACCATTTCTCTAACATGCTATACAGAATTGATGTGAATAATTTACTTATGGCATCGATTAGACTGTAGGATGTCACTTTACTTACTTGGTAATGTCATATCCTCACCAGTAGCCTACTTTTTACAATCATCACCAGTTTACATAAATCACTGATAAATACTTACTTGGTAATGTCATATCCTCACCAGTAGCCTACTTGTTACAATCATCACCAGTTTACATAAATCACTGATAAATACTTACTTGGTAATGTCATATCCTCACCAGTAGCCTACTTGTTACAATCATCACCAGTTTACATAAATCACTGATAAATACTTACTTGGTAATGTCATATCCTCACCAGTAGCCTACTTGTTACAATCATCACCAGTTTACATAAATCACTGATATTTTCTAGCTCACTAAGATCCATATTAACCATTAGAATTATGATCACTCACTATCTAATACATTATTACTAATATGTGAGGTCTGCATTTCATCAATTGACTTTTAGTAAATCGCTGTGATGTATACAACCCCTGTATAAATAATGGCACGTGTTATCCATCAGAATTTGTTGTAAATTGTAGCTGTCCTCCTGGATTTATAGGGGCCTTTTGCCAAGGTAAGCTGGTACTATCGTGCTCCCCTTGTAACGTGCACGTACTGTTATATTGAAAAAATAAATTTACTGGTATTTCGGCGTTGGTCGGGCGGGATACATTTCGCAGAACAGCTATAACCGATTGATAGGGTGACCCGAGCTGAAAAAAATCTTGAAAACTATTTACAGTTATGGCACTATATTTATATAAACAACAACCCTAGATGATCCTTTATTATAAACTGCCAATAAACTGTACCTGCGTGCTATATTTCACAAGATATATCCATTCGACTGCATTGTAAAATACACTGCTTTTGTGCACCATCCGCGGACATATTTGTTTTGGGTTTTCAATGTAATCAGCGCAGGTGTACTCACTTTATCAAACAAAGCGTAACTCAAATCTTACCACAAAACACGATCTGTTACGACAATTCACAAATCGATTGATAATATATAATACATAGTCATTATTTACCAAGTTTTTGTAGATATATTAGACCAATCTATTTATATTTTCTGTATACCCATAGACACATAGGTCTATTTATATTGGTATTTATATGTGAATGTGCCTTTGTAAATTAATATTTGATGTCCCATTTAAGAAATAATGTTCGGAAAGTATGTATATTGACGAAAAGTTTCATGGAGTAATTAGAGTATTAAATAAATAATGACAGACTATTTTAATCGATCTAAATGAAAAATATGCAATAGCTGATCAAGTTATGTACAGATTTGAGATGTACATTGACATTTTGTAGTTGGGTTTGAATAAGTGAATACAAACTAGAAGATACATAATTAAGAACAAATTCAAATTCGGGAGGACGTTCCTTCTTGTAAGATAGCATTTACACAAGTATAAATATGCTGATTATATTAATATGTATTTCCTATAACTTTATAGGGACTGAAAGCGATCGATAACATTAACAAAAACACATCTCATCGTGACCAACGCCCTCTAAATCAACATGCCTGTATGTTAGATCTTCTTTCATAACGGTATGTCGTCTATTACAACACTCTTACATACATTTATATGTACAGTATAACATCTGTCTTGGCAGATATTTTTTATAAAACAGTCAATATTATCTTGTCAGCTATATAGGTTAAAAATTAAGGTAATCAGCGCAGGTGTACTCACTTTATCAAACAAAGCGTAACTCAAATCTTACCACAAAACACGATCTGTTACGACAATTCACAAATCGATTGATAATAAATAATACATAGTCATTATTTACCAAACACAGATATGTAATTTAGAATTAATCTGTAATAAACATATATTCCAAATTGTTCCCCTTGGGACAAAATAAAAAGTTAAGTTTTACTTAGAGTATCTCAAAAGCAACTTTTCAAGCAGATCTACAGTTGTAGGCGTATTTTATAAAATAAATTGCTATCCGAAAATTAACCGATTGGTTTAAAGAAAACAGTTATTAAATAATGAATTGTTAAAATACTGTGAGAAGTGTCGGAATGTCGGTCTGCTGGGACGTCTGGATTGACAAATAAAATGGTTTTAGAAACGAAGAATGAAGAAATTGTATTTTTTTTATAACCGCTAAAAAGGGGCATTGAAAGTTTCTTCCGGTTAGGTAGGATCAGCCAGGTCAATTAATTTTTGTAAATTTTCTTTTAAAACTGAAATCGAGTGTTCCTTACTGGCGACAGAAAAATAAAATATAGACTTATTGGCAACTTGCTGATTTAAAACATACCTACGAAACCGGAGCTGTGCCTTCAGTGCCTCTTTTATTTCCCTATCTGTAAGTTGTAAAAGCCCATTTTCCATACCCTCTTTACTTTTCCAAAGACCCACCCCGATAATTTCTGTTGTTAGGCACTCTTTTTTTCCTAATCTCACGTTTCCCCTTTTGTATTAATTCATTCTTTTTTGCCAAAAGAACCGCTAGCTTTTTTTTTCGATTTCTTCCCGTCTTTGCCTAAATTTAGAAAGTTGATTTTTAGTTATCGTTTGAGCATCCATTAAGACCAAATTACGTTATCAGGTGAAAGATTTTTTAGCCATTCATCAGATTTATTCATTTTATATAAAATGGACGCTTCGTTGCCAAAAATATTAGACGAGGGCGCGATCCTCATTAATCTATCGAGATGACTGAACACGGTTTCCGGTAATTTGTTGTGAGGCATGGCAGAACTCGAACACGAAGGATTAAAGTCATCTCGATACTCAAGTAAAATATTTGAATTAAAAGATAAATCAGAATCAAATTTCGTCAGGTTAGCAAGGACCGAATCATTTTCAATTTTGATTAGAGATTCAAATGGGTGTGATTTACCTTCAACAAAGTTTTCAATATTCGGGTTTTCCAAAAAATCATGTAATTTCTGATAAATAGTTTTCATGTCAAGTGCATTAATGCCGCTTTCTAGTATGCGCCACAGTGGAGCTGTAATTAATTTATCTATCAAGCCCAAAGCCTGGCACTCAATATGCTTTGGGTCAATCTATTTTCTGTTCCAAAATCACCAAGAAAATTTGTTATATGCTTGGCCATATAATTTACAATTGCGGCATTGTGGAAAATAATATTAAACCGGTTACCATGAAATGGCGTTCGCGGTAACTTTGAAATCCCAAGGGACTTGAGATACAACTTAAAAGGCAAATAACAACCCGACATTTCGTCCCCACCCTTTGTAAAGGCTTTACAGATGGTCCGAACCAATCGAACACACCCAGGATCGTTTGGCAAAAATGAAGAAGCGGTTTTAAACGTTTGGGCCGAATACGTTTTAAAATACATTTCCTCAAATTTCTTCAATTCAGACGCACTTTTATCGGCCAAACCAGTTAATAGATGAAGACCGCAAAAGAAATGATTTATATTTAGGTGAATATTTCGCTCTGAATCTGATAAATCTGACCAGTTTTCTACTAATTTAGAACAAATATTGCCTCTGTACTCTGTAAATAAATTGTTAAAAAGCTTTTCGGTGCTGGCTCTGTCTAACATTGTATTTCTAATTTCGAAAATTACGGATTTACTAATGGGCCCAGCTATATCATCAAGATCTGCCAAAATTTCATTTAAAGTTGCAAGAGTAGTTTGCGCAGATTTATCAGCCATATTCCGAAGACCAATAATAATTGGCGTATGAGTCGAGTCAGCGGTTAGTGCATATGTACCGAATTTGGAGCCAAATTTTGTAGTTTCGTCCGTATATAAAGTGGTGTTTTTTGCTGACTTTAAGGTTTCTGAAACATGCTTTAAAGATACACCGACGCGCTCACATGATATTCTTTGAACTGTAGTTCTTTTTGGGGTATAATGAGATTTCAGTCCCGCGACAGCCAAACATGCGGTTATAACCGCGTTGACGTTCCTATCGGAAACGTTGAGGTTTTTTAGTTGCATTACCAAATTATGGCATTCTGGAGTGTATCTTTGATTTTTGACATCATACAAAATTACTTCTTCGCCACGAGGTTGGGACTTACAACCAGTTTTTTTATTTGCCAAAACTTTATTATTATTAGCCTTCGCGCGAATCAATTCTTTTGAGGTCTTCCTTAGTCGATTTTTTAAACGGAAAATTTTTTTTATATACGTATTGACCCTTCTTAATAAATTCTTATTTTTCCTATTTAATTTGGTCAAAGTCGCAGCATCGACAGATGTCTGTGTCTCTCTATTTATTAAATGTATCGTGCTGGTATCTGCCGATGGTGTCTTGTCCACAAACCCGGGGAAAAAAGGACTGTCGAGATAATCGTCATATAATTTTAAAGCTTTATTAGAATTATTTTTATTTTTACCCAGCTTTCTAGTCTTTGTCTTCAGTCTGACCAGCCTACTTTGAATACCTTTGTCATCAAACGTCACGCAGTCGTCATTTAAAGCAGTAATTATAGACCGGTGCTCCGTATTGGTCGGAAATTTATTAATAATGCCTAGTACTAGCCTATTTGTAATTCTTGCGAAGGGAAGTTTAGTTATTGTACTGAGATCATAGTGATCGCCCAAACCAATGCTGGATAGTAATTCATCGTTGGACGTCATGCTTGCTAATTGAATGGGTTGACAACAAATTAAAACAAGTCCGTCGGTCAATTCCTAAATAAATTAAAACGATTTATTTCCCTTTAACCCTAAAAGCCAATAGTCTCGAACAGTAAATATAGTCAACCGAGACTATTGTGCGTTTCGATTAATTCCCGGTAGCAAATTTAAGATACGAAACAATTTGTTTATTTTCTGATTTGACACCAGTCGTTTTAGCAATTCCACGAAGATTTTAGGAACCTTTAAAAAATAAAAAGATAACTACGGCTTTTTTTCTTATCTCGACTAAAACAATTTCTACGGAGATGTGAAATCGCCGAAACTAAATGACAACACTCTGTAGATAAATAGCTAATTGAAAAATAAAAACGACAATAATTTTTAGAATTTTGAACGTAGTTTGCGATCAAATAATTTCGAAAGACAAAAGCGTGGTGAAATAAATTTTAACTTGTGTTTATAAACCATCTGATGTTGTGACAATACCACGTGCATGACCATATATAGTGGATATTTGCTGCGATGAATTACTCGCACGTGCTCCCAGTGGACCCGGCGCTGTTTCGTCATCATTCAGAAATTCGTCGTTGGACAGTCAACAACTCTCCAGGTAAGACCGAATTTCTTAGCGGATAAATTATTGTTGCATGGGTCACCCTACGATTGAGATAGGTTTTTCCCGAAAGCGGCCAAGCATTTTTATAACTGGGGCCCCTTCAAATGGTTGTTACATGGTACACCAATGTATGTGAGGTATGGATTTCTTCAATTTAATTTCAGTAAATCCCTGTGATGCATACAACCCCTGTGTAAATAATGGCACATGTTATCCATCAGAATTTGTTGTGAATTGTAGCTGTCTTCCTGGATTTATAGGGGCCTATTGTGAAGGTAAACTGGTACATTGCTTGTAAACTATTTAACCTTCTTCGGTATAAAAACATATATGATATCTGATTTAGGTAGCCATAATTAAATAAATAACCAAGACTACCGAGTTCCAACAGTATCCACGCCAGTTGTGCCTAGACGATCAGATAACTTTAATTCACTTTTAGTTGGTTTACCTTTAAAGCTTATAGATAAATTACAAAAAGTACAGAATACTGCGGCTAGACTTGTTACTTTAACTGAGAAATGTGACCACATAACTCCTGTTTTATATAATTTACACTGGTTACCTGTTAAATATAGAATTGATTTTAAGATTTTATTACTTACTTTTAAATGTTTAAATAATTTAGCTCCTGTTTACCTCTCAGATCTTTTAGAACTTTATACACCTGGCCGAACATTACGTACATCAGATAAACTACTTTTAAAGCCCAAAACTGTTCAACTAGTCTCTTATGGTCAGCGCTCTTTTAGTTATCAAGCACCTGTTTTATGGAATAATCTACCATTTAGTTTAAGATGTTGTACATCTCTATATTCTTTTAAAAAACAACTTAAAACACATTTATTTAATCAGGTTTTTAACTGACTCTGTATACAATCGTTAACATGCCCATAATCTTGTGTGTGATTTACATTGTCACTTTGTAAAGTGCCCCTGAACATGTTATATGAAAGGGTGCACTATAAATATGCTGTAATAATAATAATAATAATAAAACAGGGATGTGTGGCAAAGATGTCACATATCGGATGCGGTAAGGTTTTGGCGGTTTTTCTTTCCATATTCGACCGACTGGGCGACCTTCGGTTATAATTTTTTCACGACTAGTGGTCGGAACTAGAAACCGAACGCGAATGGTCGGGACCATCGTCTGTTCAAAGATGGTTGCCCCCAGGGACATGGTGATGTCATTTTACTCTGCTTTAGACCTCGACCATAACCCTGAAAAAAAACCCTTAAGCTCCAGGAAGGTCTATAAATATCTCCATGGAGGATAATGAATCGCTGTGTTATATATTTTAATAAACAAATAATACTTTCATGAAGTTAAATTTGCGCGACTCTGTTCAAAGATGGTTGCCCCCAGGGACATGGTGATGTCATTTTACTCTGCTTTAGACCTCGACCATAACCCTGAAAAAAAAACCCTTAAGCTCCAGGAAGGTCTATAAATATCTCCATGGAGGATAATGAATCGCTGTGTTATATATTTTAATAAACAAATAATACTTTCATGAAGTTAAATTTGCGCGACTCAAATTAATTTTAAAGACGACAAAATTCCTTGTAATTTGACTTTACTTTTTGAATAGCGCAAATATTGAAATAATGCTTAATTTTTAGACTTACATAGATTCAGACATAATATACGAGACAAAAATAATCTGCTCATAGACGTAGCAACCATTTAAAATCCATTCAAGCTTCCCTAAAATCATATACTTAACAAAAATAGATTCTTTTTACATAGTCTACACTTTCGTTTCATCGACACCGCCATCTTGGAACTACTTCGACCATGCCACAATAGCATGGTTCAGTATTTTCGGACTATGGTCCGGACTAAATGAAATTCGGATTCAGTTAGTTCGACCATAGTCAAGAAATCACGATAACCGAAGGTCGCCCAGGTAATGCTACACGGTTTGTAGAGTGACTTATAAATATAACACAGTTGTAAATGGAATTGTTAGTCATTTTGTGGTGGTTACTTTTTTACATTGTCTTGTACTATTCAAAAAAAGTAGGGGATATTTGATTTTTAAGTGTTATTAAAGTCACCTAATGAAACTGACGAAGAAACAAATGACAAAATGAAATGAAGTTCACATTCATCGATTTATTCCAAATGATCGTTAGACTAAGTAAGGCACAGACTGACCATTATAAGGGTAAAATGATACCCGGGGTCAAACAGCAAAGTTACCACAGCATCACAACCAAGTCAGTAACGGGTAAATCCTCCTCTGTTTGCCAAACAAGCATTGATCCGACGTGGCATACTCCTAATGAGACGTCTAAGGTCATTTTGGTCCAGATTGTCCCATTCCTGTTGCAACGCAGCAGCAAGTTCTTGGACATTGGCATGACGTTGTTGACGTTGACGTAACCTCTGTCCAAGCATCCCAGACATGCTCGATGGGGGAGAGGTCGGGACTCAGTGCTGGCCAAGGTAATGTGGTGATGTTCTGTTGTTGGAGGTAACCTGTAACGATCCTGGCCCTGTGACATCTTGCGTTGTCATCCTGGAAGATGAAACGGCGGCCATGACGTCGTGCGAACGGCACAACATGGACTGCCAAGATGTTGTCCCGGTAGTACTGGCCTGTAACACGCCCTGCAACAACATGTAAAGCCGTTCTTCCAGCAACAGTGATGCCTCCCCACACCATAACAGAACCACCCCCAAATCGATCAAGTCTGATGACGTTAACGTCTTGGAAGCGCTCGTTTCGACGACGCCACACCCTCCTACGTCTGTCCAAAAAATCAACAGTGAACCTTGACTCATCTGAAAACATCACATTGCTCCAGCGTCGATTATCCCAGTGTTGACGATCCCTACACCAACGACGTCTTGCCTGAATGTGATCTCTCAAACAAGGGATCACGCGAGGACGTCGGGCGCGAAGGTGACCCCTATGCAGTCGATTCCGAATCGTCTGGCCACTCACTCTCACACCAGTGTCTGTTTGAAGACGAGCGCTGATCTGATTTGCTGTGATGACACGATTTCTCAAGGCCAAGGTACGGATAAATCGATCCTGGGCTTGAGTTGTCGCCCTTGGTCGACCTGAGCGTGGTCTGTCCTGTACAGATTGTGTATCACGGTATCTGGACCATAGCCTGCTTATGACAGACTGAGAAACATTCATCGTCCGCGCCACAACCGCCTGTGTTGTGCCGATCTGTAGCATGCCAAGGGCACGTAACCTTTCATTTTGGGTAAGCCGACGCATATCAAAATTTGTTTTCTGGTCACTAAAACAATTAAACTGATGTTTCCACCCTGGAATTCAATGCCACAATGACTGTAACATTCAAAGTCAGAGTCGTGCAAATCTTGGGTTGGACCCCCATGATGATCCCAAGCATCACCTGCATTCCATGCGGTAGCTATTGGTGCGTTTGGGCGTCACATGTAACTGGAAATGTTTCTTCTGTTAGGTTCTATAGTGACTTTTTTCGTAGTCATTTGCATATTTTAGTATTATGCCCCCAAAATCAAATATCCCCTACTTTTTTTGAATAGTATATTTATTATTTTGTAGTTGATTTATGTGACCCGAGTCCATGTAACGAGGTCGGGGATACATGTTTTCGTGTTGATGGTGGATTTGAATGTCGATGTACTAATATTGTAAATGATGGAAGTAAGTATATTTAATTTCAAGCCCTCAGACTGTAAATTTGGTTTGTAAGTAGTGACAATATGCGCCGTGTATGCTGCAGTGATCGTTACGTTATAAATGCAATTAATAATATAACCATTACTGTCGAACTAATTTCAGTTATAACATCACCGAATTACCCACAATATTATCCAGGTGGCTTTGGGAAGTGCTATGTTATAATTGGCCGACCTGGACAGAATATCACCTTAACTCTTGACGCACAGTATGGCATTGAACTTGCTGCTGAAGATTGCGATGTTGAATTACGTACTGGTGTATTTTGTGTATTTGATTATCTAAAGCTTCAGGGAGTAAGGTAACCCAATCTATCTTGTCAATAAGAACCCCACAGTTACATCTACCGGGTATATACGTAAGCCCCAAAACAAATAGCAAAGTAGACACATAGTGTGTACAGGTACGGGGGAGGGGCAACGAAAAAGCATTTCCCGAAGCATGCAAATTAGATGGTCACAAAAACGTCTGCCTGCAATTCCGGCCAGTGAAATGAAATGGGGTTTAACGTTCTACTGTTCTGCTCCGACTGGACTGATGAATACGGGCATACGCCATACAGTGTGCTATGAGGGAAGTTTTGCCCGGGCAGCGGCACTGGCACTACGGCCTACTCTTATATCGAATTCCATCTGCAAGGGATCTTTTACGCGAAAGCCAACGTATACACCGGTCCTCGGTTTTTCGTCCCATCCGAACGACTGGACAGCTGTTCTTGTCATGCCCTCCATCCTGCACCACAGGAAACCACGCCTGAAAATCCCGATGGACCTTCTAGGCCTCCAGCCAGTGAGTAAAGCAACAAGAAAGTTCAATATATCGTTATTTATCTAGCTTTAGAACCGACACCCAACACTGACCATCTGAATTCCGAGTTGTCGGCAGAAATGAAGTGGTCGACAAAATTCCCGCTCAAATTCCTGGGAGTTGGTAATCAGCCCGGGGGTAAGTTGGGCGGGGGGGGGGGGTATGAATTTTAGCACGTGTCCTGCTTTGAGCTGAGCGGCTACTTTTAAGTGGCTCTAGACATTACACTAATTTTCAATGGTTTAGTTAAAATCTAAAAATTTGATTCCCAAAAACTGATGACACAAATAATGATCGATGCCCAAAAATTGTGGCATATTGGGATTTCAACACTTAATTTGATGACTAGAAGACAACAAGGAAAATAATAAAAATTTCCGCCAAAATATTTTTTTTTCACACTTTACCGTCTTCCCGAACAGAATCTGCTCTAAAATGAAACAAATAATGCTCAAAGCCGGAAAACTATCACATAAGGCAGAATGGCTTCAGACCAAAAACGTAGTGTGATTTCAGACACTTTATTTTGTCGACTAAAAACTTATTTTTAACGTCATGCATATAAATAACTGAAGTGGTCTATTTTATATATTATAGATATTGTGGTGGGGTACCGCCAGATCCTATCGTAGTACCGACTGGTGAAAACACCACCGTGCGATTTACATCAGATTACGAGGATTCATGCATTGGTTTTAACCTAAGCATTACCTACACAGGTATGAAATGTTGTATTATATTTTTATACAAGTAACCACTGGTGTATACTAGTAAATAAATAATAACCACTGGTGTATACTCGTATATAGCTAAACCACTTGTATATACTAGTATATAGATAACAACTACTGGTATATACTAGTATATAGATAACAACTACTGGTATATACTAGTAGTTGTTATCTATATACTAGTATATACTAGTATATAGATAATAACCACTGGTATATACTAACAACTAGTGGTGTATACTAGTATATAGATAATAACCACTGGTATAATACAATAGTTTTAAAACAGCCATTTGCAAGAACAAATGCTGCATTTAGATATTTCTATATATTTCACATAATTGTCTTTATTTGTCTGTTTTCAGATGTATAAAGCCAAGAGATCAAGAGATGTATACATTCAAGATATCAACAGTAAGACAGTCGTGTTGTATTCTTCATAAACAAATATAGCCATCCACACATGAATTGTTAACTCTATGTAATGACTATATCCAAATTAATCTAAATTCACTTAAGTAACAAAACTAAACACATTCTTTAAACTGACCAATAACCTAAATAAACAGTTCTTACTGTTATTTTCATTTGTTCACTTAAAAGTCTCAATGCGTCATTTAGCGCTATTGGAATCACCTGAAATCGACAATAATGTGAAAAATGGATCTCTAATAAGAATAGCAGTACAAAAATGACCCAATTCCGTTCAGTACGGAATACGCCCACACAGCATCTTGTTTCCACTGTAGCTTATCTGAAAGGAAAACTTGAATGTTGAACAAATTTGAAAAGGATGTAAGATTGAAAAAAAAATCGGCTCAGGAACAGAAGGCTGTGGATTATGAATATCGACAGGGATCGATGACCCCAATATGAAAAAGATCCATTAACAACAATGAAAATGAAATGGGCTTTAACGACATACTGCTCTGCTCCGACTTAAAGTGTCCTAGATATGAGGGAAATTGTGCCCGGGCAGGGACCCTACGGCTTACTCTTATATCGAATTCCGGGAACCACGGTGACTGAGTGGGTAAAATAAGACGCTGGCTCGCTAGCCTGGATGTTGCGTGTTCGATTCCTGCATTGGCCGAGAAAGTTCATGGGGATTTTGCGACGTGGGTTCCCCTTGTCAGTGGTGCAGATGAAGGGCCTGACAAGGACAACTGATGAGACGAAAAACCGAGGTCCCGTGTATACATTGGCGTGCACGTAAAAGATCCCTTGGCAGATGGAATTCGATATAAGAGTAGGCCATAGTGACACTGTCCGGGCACAATTTCCCTCATAGCACACTGTATGGAGTATGCTTATCTTCATTAGCCCAATCGGAGCAGAACAGTAGGACGTTAAACCCCATTTCATTTCATTTTTATATCGAATTCCAACGGCCATGGGATATTTCACGTGCACGCTAATGTGTACACGGTACTCCAGATTTTCATCCCATCCGAACGACAATACGCTGTCCCTTTCTAGGCCTTATGTCCTGCATAACTGACATGGGGGGACTCTGCCGACATCGGGATCGATCACGGGGTCCGCAGGTTAGCGAGCCAAGATCTTACTCACTGAGCCACCGCTGCCGCCATTCATTAAAAACTGTAGCTTTTATCCCGTTCACAAAGTTTTTCGGAAAAGGGGACATTACTTCCGAATATAAGGAAGCGGAACGCTGAATATCGATAGGGTTCATCCTCTCATGATCTGAAATATTCACACCAAATTCTGTTTAAAAAAACTATAGCCGCTATCCTGTTGCCAGTGGTGGATGGGTGTGTGAGTGATATCCAATCAGAATGAGCCATACCCTGTCTTTAAATATTGACCAATCAACAACTTCGTAGCATATCAAGTCCCCACAGAAGTGATAATACTTGGGCAAGATTAAGCACATGACATGGTTATTGAATGAGATGAACCTGACACCAGTGACCTTTTTGCTGGATGCTGGAATTGTGAGAGAATCATCATATATATATTACAAGGTGGCTGTGAAAATTTCAACTTGCTAGATTCAGTCAAAACGGAGATATGGACTCAATACTTTTCTAAATATGGCAAATGTGACCAAATGTCATTTCTAGGGCGTCAAAGTGTGATGTATGTCATGCCCTGTGTTGAATTCTATTAATGTCAGGAAGCTGTAATTTGGAGAGGTACCTCTGTGGGGTCGGTCTGGGGGAGAACATATAAAGATTTTAAGGGGGTAGCATGATTAGAAGGGGCCAAGGCGGTGGTGTTCAGTTCTGCGTTCATTGCCAATTCCGTGCCTTTTCGGGCTATTCTCATGTACCCCCCCCCCCCCCCCCCACTGCATTTGTTGTTTTTTAATATTAGAGCTAGGAGGCCATATGTATTCCGGTGTGACTGTACAGATTACAGCTTCCTAGCTCAAGTAGAACTGTACATTTGAGGCGGTGACTAACCTAAAATAACATTTTTCAATGAAAACCTCCCTATATATAGTCCCTATATTCGCTCAATTGAAAATCGTCGCATTTTATTTTGCTTGAAGCTATGAACCGGACATTTGCCGAGATATCTTTAGGAAGGTGGTGTTTCAAATTTCAGGCTGCTAGCTACAACAAACTATTCATTTTCCTCTGTTTTTCGGATTCCGGGTTCAAACTCGCCAGCAGTAAAAGAAACGTTTTTGGCATTTTGGTTTGGTTATTTGGCCATAAATCCATTTCTTATGATCGGAATCAAAAAGGACAGCAGGCATTATGTACTTTAAGAAGTTAGTATACATATTCACTCAGAATTTCAAGCTTCTAAGACAAACAGTACTGGTGGCAAAGCCAAAAGACTTTCGCAGAATACATTTGGATTGGGTCGATTTTCTAAGATGGCCGCCTTATCGCAACCATAGAAAAGGCCGTTGGGGGGGGGGGAAGGGCGTCTTTTACCGACAACGATGTTTTTGGACTACAGAGGCATCGTTCCCGTTGTCGTAGTACCTTGAAATTGTGATACAATGTGCATTGGGTTCCTAGCTATCACCTATTAAAAAAAGAAGTCCGTTTTCTATTAAAATCGCCCGCATTTTATTGAATTTTTATTGTTCTCGAGATCGCAGCTTTTTCTTATAGATATGAGTAGTGTGAAATCGCTAAAAATATTTCAAGATCTGAATCTACCGGGACGATGCCTCAGCTGTCAAAAATAGTCGTTTTTATACGCCCGCATTTTCATGTGGACGTTTTATGTCTATCTCCCAAAGATCTCGGTTCCTTTCGAAATTGGCATGTATCGGACCATACCTTCGTGGATTATGGTCCCTGATTGTACGACAAATCACATTTTTAGCTTGTGGACAATCCAGAGGCAGCAATTTTCGCCTGATTTTAATGAAACTTGAAATGCATTTTTATAACCCAAAGATCTTGATTCCTTTTGATATTCGCGCATACGAGATAACAACATTATGATATTTTTTGAGAATGGGGACAGTGGTGAATCATGGTAAGTAGAATAAACTTTGGTCGAAGCTTGGGTATATTCAGTCAAATGATTTTAGGCAGAAATGGTTAGCAGTGCTAATCAAGGGGATTGCTTCCACATCTGTGTTGTTAAGGGTTCAAGTTTTGCTTGTGCCCTGTGGTTTGAGTCCAGTCTAGTGTCCATTCAGGTAATTACTGGAAAAATGGTCGAACACGGACGAAGTTCGATCGAATTTCAACTGGTCAGGTGAAGCGTCCTAACGGTCTGTCATTCTGTCCGAGGGAAAGGTTATCGGCAGATTTTCGCCATTTTCTGAAAATAAACGTACGGTAGACTACTTCTCATTAAGTTCTAACTTTCCATGCTTTCGTAGCTATTTTCTATAACTTGCATGTCATAACTCACAATGGTCTATTATTCAACAGAATTACAAATTTTATCTGAATAAAAAAAATAATTATAAAAACACCGTAACCTCGATTGTCGTTGTTACCAGTGTAACGATAATAAAGAAACTCTCAATTATACATTTTTGCAGTTAATCATTAATGGGCGTTGAACAGCAGATCGTATTCAAATCTAATGAAAATCGGACACACAAGATGGCACCGAGACTTGCTTATGGTCTCGTCATGTTAATAAATGTCTAATTAATAGTATATAACATTTCAGGCCTAAAGAAAGACCTGCAATTGGCAGAGTTTGCCCTTGCATTATGTATTTTTAAGTAGCCAATGCAGTTTATAAATGGGATTTTAAGATCTGCGAGATGAAAATAAAATGGGACATTGGTTAAGATTTCTATCGTTATCAAAATTTAATATCTGATATCTAAATAATTCTTTAATAGTTAATAATGCAACAAAAAATACGTTCCCAAAAGATGGTCTTATTTTCAGCACTTTATAGAAAAGGCGGGAAATTTTCGCGTGATTAGGCCGGCATCGTCAAAGACGGGAAGCTAACGTCGCATGATAGGTACTGATAAAATAAGGGATTTATATTGATTGATGAATGTATATACTACAAATAATTAAGTTCTCAATTGATTGTGTGTATTTTTATCTCCGTGGAAAACCCGATCCAATTATTCCATCAATAATCAATAAACATTGCAAACGTTTTTGATCCCGAGATAAAATAGTAGACCCAGGCCCATAGCTAAAGGGGGGGGGGGGGGCAAAAGGGTCACGTTGGTCGTTGGTTTAGTATTGCGTCCACTGGGATAGCCGATTCTTTCCCCATTCCCCACGGGGTAAAGGCACCGATTTGAACCAGGGGAATCAGCTGCCTCTCTTGCGCCCCCCCCCCCTATCCCCGCCCCCGCTAGCCACGGGCCTGAGGCCTACCCTACTTTTCCCCCACATCATCGATCCATTTGCGTTATTGCACCGATCAGGGTTGTTTAAATAAAGTCACTGCACTGTCCCGATATAATCTTTACAGCATTAATTGGACTTTTAAATCAATTGTCATACATATCCGGTGTTCAGTTAATTTATTTTTCAAGAGTTGCAAGTTTAAGATTTAGAGAATTGTCAATACCGGACCCGTACCTCAACGTCGTGGGTACTGTGCGCTGGATCAGATTAAGCTTGCATCAACAGTGACAAGGTGGTGTATTCTGGTCATTCTCCGTCACACTCACATGAAATGCCAAACTGGTCAGCAGTAAATATTCGTTAAATGCATTTTGTATGTAAGTATGCCCCCTAGTTGCCTCACCGTTACTTATAACATCATACCTATTGATGGTACAAAGCGTTTTTATAAATGAAATGAAATGGGGTTTTGTGATACGATTTCCGAAATCGATATTCTAATAAATGTAAGAGGCTTGTTTTCTGGGGTGTTTGTTTTTCATTTCTACAACTATTTCATTCTTTGAAGTGTCAACATCTCCCTAATTTTTACAATAGATCGTTTAAAACAGTGGGTACCAATTGTTCCAGTACCTCCATATTCCTTCCTTCTACATCCCTTACTGCCAATTGGGAGGGGAGGG